ACTTGAATGAGAGAAAAAAAACAAATATCTATACTAAGAACTACTTGTGTGTCACAGAAACCGGCAAATGAACAAAAAAAAACCATGACCACACAATGACGGTAACTATCATCATCATCATCATCATATACTATATGGCGTCTTTGGGTTGGATTGAAAAGCAAAGCAATGCAATGCAATGTAAAAAAAAAAATCTTTTGTATATACCACCAAACACCATTGCCGTCACCACTTTTAAATTTGATTTTGTTGTTTCATAGCGAGAAAAAACAACAAATATACATAGACACACACACACACACACACACTTGACCTTCGCCCAGATATTATTATCCATAAGGCCTTAGTTTTTGATCTGTAGACCGCAAAAAAATAAGAAAAATTTGGTCTAGCCACCATAGCTGTTGGTGGTGGTGGTGGTGGTGATTGAAGTTGTTGTTGTTGTTTTTCATATGAAATCATATTCATCGAATTGATATTGTCTTATTATATGGGACATGATTTAGTTCAAGTGATTTTCTAAAACGATGGGGGTGTGTGCTTTTGTGTGTGTTCATTGAGATAGAAGAAAAAAGAACCGACTCATTTGTTTTTGTTGTTGTTGTTGTTGTTGTTTGTGTTTCAATATTATACACTCTATCACATGCGAGTCATTTAGTCACAATTCGGATTGTCAAAAAAAAAAAAAAGTCAAGTTCATAAAATCAAAAAAAAAGATGGCTAAATTCCAGAATAAAATTTTGGTCGGCTTTTCTCTGTTTTTGTTTTCCGAATCACCACGTCATTTGATTTGATCTCACACGAAGCAAGTGATTGCATTTCATTTTGTCATTTTTGTTTGTTTGCTCGTCTTGTGTGCACGATATTTATCAATTCAAAGAATCAAATTCATATCAGATGAAAAGAAGGGTGAACAAAAAAAAAACACTGAGGTCTTTCTTTTTTTTTTTTTGGGCCGCAATCGAAAACTGATCGATCATTGTTTTAACTACATTAGTATCAACAGCCGGTTAGCGGTATCACTATGTGCACCATTAACCTCGTTGATGATGATAGCGATCATTATCAAGAGAAAAAAAACCGATGATCATCTGGTTTGATTCACAAAAAAAAAATTTTCGATTATTGACACAACGAATCATCAATTCGGTCTATACTTATTATCATCATCATCATCATCGTCATCATCCACCTTGATAATTGACCATTTTTGAAGTTTTTTTCTCTTTGACACAAAATATCAATTGAAATGGCCTCTAATTTTTAGCTCCATCATTTGGAAATTTGATAATCGATTGTGTATTTTGGCTGATTTTTTTTTTATTTTTTTTTTTGCTTAAGGACAAACAACATTTCAAAATTGACGTTTACTCGTCATTCACTCATATTTTCATTCATACATAATAATAGGATACATGTTCATAAACACACATACACACACACATTAAATCCAGACATAGAACCAAAATGAATATTATGTCTGAATCTATGTGCGATTTTTTTTGCCATTTTGGCCAGGTAACGTAATCGATTGGAAAAAGAGAGAAAAAAATAATTTTCATTGAAATTGAGCAATGCAAATACACAGTGAATGTGTGTAGTATATAATTCAATTAACACTTTCCGTGCGTATTTTTTTTATATTTTTTTTTTTTTTTTTGACCATCGGTTCCCAAGGTACCAATCAACTGATCATCATTAACTGAACATAGTACAACGGAAATGGCCTATTAAGGACATTTAGTTTGCCACTGGTATTCTGTTATACATTGACCGACGTCATTAGTGTCATTCAATGATCATCGAACTGGTCAACCAAAAAAAAAAAAAAAAAAGAAAATGAAAAGTTAATCATTGACTATGGTTTCTTTCTCTTTCATTTACTCATTCATCGATTCAATTTGAATTCATTCATTGAATTCAATTCATATATACAAACAAGATATATATAGAGTGATTGAAAAAAAAAGTTTACTAATGAAATTTTAATGGAATCAACTATGAATGAATGAATGAATGAAACTTATGTGGTTCACACGCACAAACACGATCTACCCAAAAAAAATGGCAAAAAAAGACCTCTCTATGATTATGTCAGCGGTGTTCGATTGCTTAACTCTTCCTTTCATTTGTGATTCTTTTTTTCATTCACCGCAAAACAAAACAAAAAAATCGTCAAAAGCACGAAATTTGATTCCAATGAAACAAAAAAAAAAAAAAATTAGAGCTTCACAATTTGATACCAGAAAATTTACTCATTTTAATGGACACCGACATGGCCTTGAACACAATCGATGATCATTGATGGTGGGCTAGGCCTACAAACAATCCTTCAAGATTAGCTTTTCCAATGAATTTGTGACAACAACAACAACAACAAAAAATCAACATTTACTCAACCACACACACACACACACAAATGACCAATTTTTCAAGATAACTGTTATTTTACGATATGTGTGATAATTATCGAAGTGGAAAAAAAATCAAAATTCTAAAAATAAACTCAGAATAGGCCGGTAGCCACAGTAGAGAATATAGATAATTAATAGTTCAGTTATCATCCATCATATATATGATTGAAGATTCTCAACGAATAAAAAAAAAACAGGCCGATATAATCAATACTAATGGCGGTAGCTATAAGATTTATCAATAATATGATCATAATATATCAATAGGAAAAATAAAAATGATAACAACAAGTGGCCACCCGAATGTTTTCTGATTGTTTTTTTTTTGTTGATAGAAAAAAAAGACAAGTGAAGATAATTAAATTAGCAGAATGGCATTTTTGTTAAAGAATCAAATTTAAAAGTAAAAAAATGAATACATTGGCTACATATATTCTATCATGATTGAAATCAATCAAAATATGTTCATGGCCATCATCATCATCATCATCATCGTTTGAAAGTTTATAACAGTGAGGACCGCGCCCATATTTATGGTTTAAAATTTATTATTGGAAAAAACCATAAGGCCACAAGGTTATCATCATCATAACCAATGGATAATGATAATGATGATGATAATGCTTACCATATGGTCTTTTCTAGTCATGATATGGTATGTTTTTCTTATTGCAACAACAAAAGACCAATTATAACACCTTCCGATTTTTGTTTCCACTGCCATTAACCATAGTATTTTGGTATTCAAACAATCAAAATTGATTGAATGAATAATTGAAAGTGAAGGTCAGATTTTTCCAGTGTTTTTGTCTTTTGAAAGTTCAAAAGGCTAGTTTTTTTTCTGGAATTCTATCATTTGTGCTATTCTGAACACCTTATTTGAATACTAATAACGGTGTATAGGTGAATATCATTCATTCTGATGCTTTTTTTCACACATTTTTGTTTCATTTCCGATGTTAATTTATAAATATAATTCAAATTGACAATATCTCACATTGGAATTGGCGGGATTCTTTTTTGTATTTTTTTTTGTTTTGTTTCTTATCAAAAACAAATTTTTCTTTCCTGTCTCATTTCTTAGATTTTCTGTTTGTTTGTTTCTTTTATTTGTGAATTTAGCCGGCAAACAAAAAAAAAATTTCCAATGAAAATTGTTGAAAACAAATTTGAAATTATTCAAATTCCAAACCGCACCCGAAACAGAAACATATAAACTATTCATTTTCAATTTTCAAATGTCTCTGTGTTTTTTTTTAGTCATTCTTGGTTAGTTTGTTTGTATATATTTCGATTTCATTCAAGAAATTTTTCTTTTTTTTCATTCATTTTTAAAATCATCATCATTGAAGGCGTCACATTATCGTATAAAAATCAAGATTTTTTTCTTCTTCTTCTTCTTCATCGTCTTTCATTGAGAGACCTCACTCACTCACTCACTCACTCACTCTCGTCAAGCGTTGATTGACTACTTTAGGTGTGATGATATTTCAATCATCATCATCATGATCGTCAACAGAATCGGCATCTTATTTTACTATTTAATGGTTCATAAGGTCAAATGTCAATTAAACATCATCGACTATGATGATATAGATCAGATTTTTGATCAATTTCATCATTTTCACGGCTGAATGCACAAATATTGTCTATTTTTTTTTTAACAAAACTATTCATTCATTCATCAAAATAAATGTTAAAGCAATACGAAGTGAACAATTTAAAAATTTCAATTCACAGAAGCGATCATTATGATTATTATTATTATGTTTTTTACTACTATTAAATACAATGATGCTATCAACATCACTATTATTATATCAGACATCATTTACGTTTCCGGTCTGGCTCGTGCTCGTATTATTGTTACATACACAACCACTATGGTCATTCATTGACCATTATCGATAATCATTGGTATGAAGTATTCATAAGACAATTCATAATTTGTTTTTTTTTCATTTATTGTTTTTCTCTTCATTCATTCATATATTGTAAGAATAATGGAATTTTAAAGGTACCAAAAAAAAAAAAAAAACATTCAAAACACGCAAACATTTAAAACATTATAATTTATATTTATTATTATTCCGGTCATCGATGAAAAAAAGTTTTTTTTTATTTTTGGTTTCGTACGATAAGATCTAAATAGTCTAAATCAAAGTTGACACAACTATAGTAAAACGATCAGAGACGTTATCAACTTTTTAGGCATGAAAAAAATTCTACCACGTGGCTAAGGTACAATTTTTTTTTTTTTTTTTTTTGATTCACCAGACTTGACCAGACATCTGAACATTTGCCATTTGATTTCTAAAAATTTCAAATTTCAAATTCTCGTCTCTACATCGTAAAAAATCATTGATCTATTTTTCTATCTATCGGCCAACTAGAAAAGGTGATTTGCAGCTGCATTGTACAGCAACAACAGCATAAAAAGTGTGTCACACACACACACAAACAGACCTGACCTGTGACCAGACAAATTTATTTATTGGTGTAAAAATATTTGACTTTATTTATTAGTTTTTTATTTGAAATTTGTTTTGGTTTTGTTACAAAAAAACAAAGCATGTACATAACGAAAATAAAAAAAAATTTTATACACGATAAACGAAACGATATTTTTGAAAATTTTAAAATTTTCAATTTTCCACATCAATAATTACGTGCAACAAGTGACTCAATTGAATTATATTGATGAATTGTTGATGGTTGCGACTGTGATTGATTAGACGTAGTTGTTGTTGTTGTTGTTTTGATCAATGATTTTTGGCCATCCAACAACAATTGTTGACATTGAATCGTATTCGACATAGAATGTATGAGCATATGTCGTCTAAGATCACAGTTACGGCGAAATTCTTTACCACATTTATCGCAATTAAATGGTTTAATATCTGTATGTGTTAGTAGATGTGTTTTTAAATTTGATCGTTGATTAAATCCACGTCCACATAAATGACATTTATGTGGTGACATTTCTTTATGTAAAATTTTATGTACAGCCAATGTACGTGATTGACAGAATCCTTTACCACATTCAGTACATTTGAATGGTTTTTCTTTTGAATGAATAAATCTATGTGATGATTACAACAACAACAAAAATAAAAATTTGTTTTTAGCACAGTTATTTTATTGATTAAAACAATCAAACACTTACCGATGATCACGTAAATGATCCTGTCGTCGAAATGCTTTACCACAAATGTCACAATTGAATGGCCGTTCATCTGTATGTGTTCGTTCATGTATCAATAGATTATAAGATTTAGTGAATTGTCTTTGACAGAATCGACAGATGAATTTTTTCTTTTTACGTTTACCACCATTACTGTTATTTGCTATTTTTCTTTCACCATTTTCTCCCGTAAATTGATCGCAATTCAGATTTTTTATCTGTTGATTTGTATTAATTTTCGAATAAAGAACATCATCATCATTATCGGGCTCGGTAGCCGATTTTGCTAGATTAGCAAAATCAAATTTTCGTTTTTTCATTGGTTCAGTATGCAGTTGTGATTGTTTATCAGGATTTTGTTTAATTTTTGTCAAATTTAAAGGTGGTGGTGACATTGCAGACACGGATGATGATGATGATGAACCATTTTCCATTGAACTTGCTCCAGGAGTATGTGGAGGTGTCAATAATAAATTCGATGATGTTGTCTCCATCAATGATTGTTTATGGTGATGATGATGATTGAACATGGCAGCAGCCGTCATCATATGTGGATATGATGATGTAAATGGATTCATTGAAGCAACCAAATGATGGGATTGGCATTCTATTTTGTGATTTCAAAATAAAAATAAAAATAAAACAAACAAACAAACCAATGGTTATTTTAATCGATTCTTGTTTTGAAATATTTGTAATGAAAAAATTTAATAAAACACGGATACAAACATACACACACACACACACATAATTATATGTCAAAGGTCATCGACAAAATTGATTCAAGTGTTATTTTTTTTAATTCAGAAAAAAATGTTGTAACAGATGCCACACCTTTGTGAATTATCCTTGAATATATATGTGTGTGTGTGTGTGTGTGTTGTAAATAAATAACAATCATTGATCATCCAATAATGATGAACATTATAACTGTTGGTGGATATCTTAGCTACTGTATCAATGTCCACACCTAATCCTATTTGGCCTAGCCCAATAAGGTCCGGGTTCCTTGTTGGATTTTGATTTTAAACAAATTTTTTTTTTTACACTTACGATTTGTTTCATGATTATGATGGTCATGATGGTGATTTTGATGATGATTATGATTATGAATATGATTATTGAATGAAGCCATCAATAATGATGAATATAGATTCGTCGATTGTTGTGGATGAAGATGATTTAAAATTTCAACACTTTGTTGTTGATGTTGAATTGGATGTGATAATAATTTATCAATCGATTGTTGCTGTTGTCGTTGTGCCAAAAGATAATGTTGTAATAGAATCATATTTGCCAATGAAGATGATTGTGATGTTGATGACGATGACGATGATATTTGATGATTTTTCATATTGATCATTGATCGATCCATTATGTTTGTATCGTTGATCATTTTTCTTTTTGTTTATTTATTGTTTTTCAAAGTCACAAGTTGTTTGCAAAAAAAAAATTAAAGTTTTTTTTTACGAATTCAATGTTAAAACACAAAGGTAATGGTGAATATATTTGCTGTAGGGTATATATTACTATTAGGTGCTTGTTCTGGATGGTACAAAGTCACGATCGCTACTGAAGATTGGCCATCAACTTGTTGCACTACTTATTTGGGTTTGAAAACTAGTCTTTGTGTGTGTGTGTGTGTATGCATGTATGATGTATTCTTGGCTTCAATGCGCGTGAATAGCTACTGTGAACATTGGCCAACGCCATCACCATTTCACTGTTTGCTTTATATTGAAAGTGCTATAGCTTCTGCATTAGTTTGGATTTTTTTTTTCATTCGTTCGTTGCTGTTGAAAATGAATTTTTTTTCCCACTATTCACATTCAACCAATGAATGAATAGATACTATGGTACTGCTGCTGATGATCATGATGATGATGATAAAAGGACAAAAAAACAAATGTACCAAACTAACCGAAAGCAACAGTTACAGGCTCCACCTCTGGTTTTTTTTCCACATTCATAATTCAACTACTATTTTACGCATCAATACAATGTTTTTTTTTGGGAGGCTGTGGCTAATGTACAAAATTCGAACGCCCATTGTTTTGCCCATAAATAAATCCAAATAGATGGATGTTTTGCTTCTGTTATTCAATATTCAATATCACTTGTTGATTGAACCAAATATTCCTACTAGGAATTTGTATGTGGAAATTTTTTGACCATGATCATTAGAAAAAAAATGAACAGCGATTAAAGCTTACGTTGTAGAAAAAGTTGACATTATAAAAAATCTATTTCGATTTCCGTTTTTTTTTCTTTTTGGATTTTTCCGTTATCTGAGATTAAATATGGACATTGAAAACAAAAATCCCGATGTTGTTTGATTGATTGTCAAATTGATTATCATTGAATTCATTTATAATTCATTCATAATTGATAGCAAGAAATTATTTGTCTAAACATACATTTTTGGGGATTTTATTCACTCTTTGGCATATGCCGAAATCATAATCCGTCAATCAAAATATTATATCAAAGTAGTATTCATTTCCGTCCAAATATCAATGAAAAACAAGGAGAAAATGAAAAAAAAAAAATTTTTTGATTGAAAACTTATTGCCAATAACATAGTGTAAATATGTTTGGAATTGGACAAATGTTCTAATGTTCTAAGTTCTATAATTCCACTGAATTGATCCATCAATTTTTGGAATTTTATATTTTTTTTCTAGTTTTCTCCGGTCACACTCTGCAGGTGTTTGTTTTTCATTTTTTTTTTTTTTTTTTGGTTTCATTCGGCCATCATATTCATTGTAGAAACGAAATGAATTCAAACTGTGCAAAAAAAAATGAATTGTGTAAATGAAATGACATTGTATTTTTTTTTTTAATGATGAGCCAGAAGAAAAAAAATTGATGGCTGCATATTATGCAAATTTTTTTTTTTTTTTTTGATCTCAATGATGATTGGGATTTCAAAGTATTTTTTTTTCTACTCTTGTTCCAAGTTTAGTTTTGATTGTATTCAGTTATTGCTAGGTCTTTTTTTTCTTCCTACTGGTTCATTAGATTCTATATCGATGATGATGATGTTTTCTATACGAAAACCACCTTGAGTGTTTTGATTGATCGATCGTTTATCAATGTTAATCTTGAATATCTATGAACTGATTTTTTTTCCATCATATGACTAGCTTTAATTGATTAGCATACTGGTTTTTTGTTTAAGATCTGACATTCAATTGAATGTTGGTTAATTGATGATGATGATGATGATGACCAGATTCAAAGATCATAGATCCTACTGTACTACACGCATACACACATGGTTTTTTTCTTTTTTTTTTTTTTATTTACATCCATGAATCATTTGAAAATGAATTTATGAATCACAACTATCAGAATAATACTGGAACAGATTGCAAATAAATATGGCCTAAAGGTAGATGATGAAAAAAAAAAATCAGACCAGACGCGTGACATCGTCATCACACACAATTTTTTTTTTCATAAGAACTCAATATATGCACACACCTGGTCTAGTAAGATAATAAACCCAAAAAAAATGATGGCCATATGGTTTTTCATTTATAAATATGATGATCATCATCGATATGATATGATCAAAGTCTGGACATATTGATCCAAACATGAACCATTATTTTACGTCACGTTGGTTCATTATTACTTTGGCAAAAAAAAAAAAAAAAAGACAATGTGATCAATTATGAATGGCACGATTGTATAATTTTTTGCTACTGACAATTATTTTACGGAAGGAAGGAAACAATCTTCATGGACCTTGTTTATTCCAGAGAATGGTAGAATTTATTATCTCTCTAAGTGTGTGGTTGTGCAAATTTCAATCCAATATTCGTATCGACCGAAGCATCTGGATTTTTTTCTTTTTTCATTAACAAGCAACGGTAGTTAGTTGTAAAAAAAATGTGAATAAAAATCGTGACTTATTTATATATACAGCATTGGTGAACATCTGAACCATTTTGTTTTGTTTTTTTTTTTTTTTTTTATCAATATGATCCATCCCTTATATATATTTTATGACCTGATCTGCATCTATGTGTGCAGATGTTATATATGTATGTATTTATATGGCTAAAATGAAGATGATATCTACATGGCTTGTTTGGATGGCCAATTTTTTTTCAATTGATTTAATTTGTTTTTTGTTGGAAAAAATTGAAAATTTTTTTTTCATGAAATTTTAATGCCATCTAGCGTGACAGATTCGAATCATGAAATTGAAATTTTTTATTGATAATTTTCCTAGCTACTGATCGTATTCAACTGATTAAAACTTTAAAAAAAATTGCTGACAAACCCCCGAATATATTGATTCGAATAATGGTTATAATTGTTTCTTCCTAAATATCGATTGTTTAATTTTTAATCATTCCATTTCATTTTCATCTCTGATATTGTTTTTCTTCCTATTCGGTTATTGTTATTAATATCACCCATGAAATTGTTTCCGTGTTTATTTTAATGTTCACATTTTTTTCCAGGAAATAATGTAAAAAAACATTTGATAATTAAAAAGTGATCTATTTTGTATCCAAAAAAAACACCACATTAGGCTAGAAATTGATTATTATTTTTAAAATACCTGTCAAATTAATCGAAAAATGAGTGTTGACTAGAAATAAAAATTCAGAATGTTACATAATCATACCAAAAAGAAATCAATATATTTATTCATTGTACTTGGGAAAATTGAAATTTTATGTTCTTTAAACATCATAAACATATTAAAATTCCAGGAAAAATATTGAACAAATTCATACAGGAGTACAGAAAAATTTTTATTCCAAACATTTTATCATCATTCTGGTTTATCTTGTGGAACCTAGAGGATTTAATGTCTAGAATTTTTGCCAGACATATATTGATGATTGTTAATACGAAATTTGTGATAAAATGTATCTCAAAATCCGTCATCTATGTTATAACCATGCAGAAGAAATTTTCGAGCAATATCATACAACTGGATATCGAATCAAGCATTCAATAGAGATTACTATCACTAATTTCTGGCTCATTCGAATGTCATTAGCGATATTTAGTTATCGTAGACAAGAATTAAATTATTGGCTTTATGATCCATGTACTGTATTGTTTCATTATTTAAACCCAAATCTTCATATTCATTATACATGTATTTTGGCCTTTATTCTGTTGACGACAATAATTGAAACATACTTTATTTTCTTCTATCGTACCAATCCATCTGTTTATCAATATTTATATGATTTGGTAGTTGTGAATACAAAACAAATCACTCATTGTTATTATCCACAAGATATGATAACACAAATGGTGGAAAAAACATATCGAATTAATCTTAAAATATTTCAATGCAACAACATGATATTCAGTCATACAAGTCCATTACATCATATTGGACAATTCTATTGTTGGCATATGACAAAAATTCAATTTAAACTTCAACTTAAACATTTGAATCGAAGAAAATTATCATCATTCAAATTGAAATCATTACCATATTTATCAATTAATAGTCGCTCAATGTTACAGCTTGGACTTTATTGTATGGATACGATTGTTTATTATTTCCATTTTCTTATCGGTCAGTATTCTTTGATGATGATAAATTTTTATTTTTGAAAAAAATTTTTGTAGGATTTTTTTTGGTAATAGCATTGATATTCTATTATTATACAATATGGAATATTTTTCATCTTACTCATTGGTATCATCATTTATTGTTATTGGTTGAAATAGCAATCATTTTATATGATACATTTCTTACTTTTCAACTAATATGTATAATATCGACATTAAATATTTTGGTCATCATTTCATTTTGTTCAATTCAACTTGAAACAATTAATAATCTTTTAAAATGTATTCACATTCAATCATCAAATCGTTTAAAATCACAAACTTTAAATCTTTTATCATCACTTTATCTTGAACATGGAAAAATCTGTCAGTTCTATATGATAATATTCACAAAATTATATGGCAAAATGATTTTTATATTCTTGTCATTTACATTACCAATGAATGTATTATTTTTGATTGTTTTTTGTACAAAAAATTTAAGTTGGATTGAAAAAATGCAAATCATCGCCATATTTTGTTTTCATTCATTTATTCTAATACAATCACAATTATCATTAGCAATGCAAACTGAAGTCATTCATCGTCCAGAAAAATATTTAGTATCCATTATTCAAAATGTCACTCGTTTAAGATTAAAAATGAAATTAGCCGATTTACATTATCGCCTTACACAAGGACCAAAATATGGACCAATCATATCGTTATTTGGTGCAATAACCAATAGAATAGTTTTAGAGGTAAAGTAAAATGAATTTTAGTGTTGATTATACCAAATTAATTTTTTTTTTTTTTTTTCTCGAAAAAAGATGGTCAGCATTTATATTGGTTATTTATCTTTTATTCTGTCTAATTTTCAAAATATTTTCCAGTAGAAGTATAGTTTTTTAGACCATAAAAATTGTCGATATATATAATAATTAAGTTTCATAGATTTTATCTTTTAACAATTTATTTGTTTAATAGAAATGTGAAAGCATACGTTGTTTATGAATATAACATACATTGTATATATATATAAATGAATTATTACATTAAATAAAAAAGTGATAATGAAAGTCTTGAAAATTATTTTTTACTTCTTCTTTTTCTTCAAGCAAATTTCCAAAAAAAATTAAACAAAAATTGACATTTTTCAGGTAAAAATTTGTCATTCAAACGAGAATCAATTTTGTATTCCAAGTCACAATATACGGAATAATATTCTTCAATAGTAGTAATTTCATCGCCTTCAAATTTTAAAATAGAATCATTAAATAATTCTAAAGTAGATGAAAGAGCATTCTAAAAAATTCATTCCAAACAAACCAATTCGTTTTGGTTTCAAGAATTGGTGCATGTGCGATTCTATATTGAAACTTTTTTCAATTATGAATAACTTATATCAATACATATGCAACAGCAACACGTTGAAGAAAAAATCAATTATGCAACTGTCCATTGAAGATCTGGAAAGAAAAAAGAAAGATTAGATTATATTTTTTAATTTTCTGTATTACTTGTATTTCATTTCTTACTTTTATTTTTTTTTCGGTTTATTAATACAATAAATTAAATATAACTTTATCAATTTTAAAATGTCAGTTTTGCCTTTGTCCAGTTGTTGTGAATTGAATTATTATATTTATTGAATTATTGTTTATGTATTTAAACACAATTCTTGTTGAGTCATAGCTCAGATTTCTTTTATTTTATTCTTATTAAAAAATTTGGTTATTTCGTGTTAATCCTTTGTTTTTAACACTAGTATAGCTTTGTCATAAATCGCAATAACAGAAAATTCATTAATAAAAATAACACATTTAATGAACTTTATTTAATGAACTGGGCGTATTAGTTTAAATTTATTCAATGAATCTGATGGAATATTCATAAGCAGAGAATTGGTAATCTGAACACATACTGATTTATGATGACGACCATCACAATTACCACATTTTATATGTGATCTACATGCCATGCTTTAATATAACAATCCGGACAACAACAAGCACGCCATCCGTTTCATTCTCTTGCTCAATCGACACGTTCATAAAGAACGTTACCCTTGATTGCTGAAAATCCGGACGTTTAGTAACCTTATAGTGTTAAAATAGTAAAAATAGTTTTACATGAGTATAAAATATGTTGTGCTGATGGTTTGTTCTATGATGATCATTAAAAATAGAGTTTTTTCTCCAACACGTTATCAGCACCATCGCATTTTGTGCTTCAGTAGAAAACTGATTTTTTATACTTGTGTTTTTTTTTGGTAAAAATATTCTACGGTATTTACCGTTTACAATTAACAAGAGTCTTGTTACTGGATTCTTCGAAGATAGTATATATACCGATGATAGTTTTGGACAAGGTAATACTAGACATTCAACTTCCGGTATCATTATATACTGTGATAAGTCAACTTTAATGTGAAAATGTAACCGACAATCAAAATTGTCTACTACTTTAAGTTGTGAAGCTGAATTTCGGGCATTATTGGATGGCTATAATTCAATGAAACCAATGCGAGAAATATTGAATTTTCTGAATTATCTTACAAATGTTGTTTTTCGGTGTGATAATTTGTGCTTCTGTGTTCATGTTTCTCATCTCTCAACAGTAATCAACGATGACACAACTAAATCCAAAAAATGTTCAATTTCTATCTTTGGATTAAGTGCCATATCACTACTGGTATGAATCAATCAAAGAGTGCTCAATCGCTATAGAGTGCGAGGACTACATTGATCCAAAATTCGATTACAAGCCAAAGGATGGTTTATCAAAAAAAAAAAAAAAAAAATCAATAGCACCTCAAAAGCCTCATCAAGTCGTCATTAAATTCCATGGACCGAGAAACGGTGATTAATTGTGAAACGCCTCTTGAAATGATCAACAATCGGAGAATAACAATCTTATGATGATTTATCATTTTGTTCAAAGCCTCTTGCTCGATATCGACCATCTTCATTTATTGTATAAACCCATTTTACCCATATCACACATGTATCAGATGGTGGTTCAATCAAAGCCCATGTTTTGTTTTTCAGAAATAATCTTTGTTTTTGTAAGTCATCATGAAACAGGGTAGTATTTTGTGTAATTGTTTTCCCCTGTAGCAAAACATGCTCAAAAGAAAAACAAACGATCGCTGATCAACAAAATGAAAACTTTATTTCATATAATTTATTAATACGATGTCTTTACCGATATAAATCATAAACATAATAATAAAGAAAAATCAATACAGCATAAAAATAAACGACGAAGAAGAAACTCTATTCATCTTCATCACGGTCAATACTCAATTTCTTGTTAGTTAATTATCGCCACCTATCGACCGATATTTTTTCAACATTCCTCCCCCGTTTTTTGGCGATTTCCAAGATAGCCAATTATCAATATTCACAGACACGGGCTTGGTTCTCCATTGACGACATCTGTCATTCATTGACTTAATTCGAAACATTATTTTTGTCATTAACATTGGAATTCGATTGCTCATCTCCTCATTGATACTTCGCTTCCACGGATCTGGGGGCACATCAATTTGTTGAAGCCATTCGTTATAACATTTTCTTTCCAGGTCGATATCGGTTACTTTCGATTTGATAGTATACAGACGTACAGCCACAGGACACTGAAATTGGTTGATATTGCGTTCAGAACGTTTTACATTGTTCGTCACATTGGAATACAATATAAGATGTTTAGGTCGAATCATTCCTTCAATCGATTTGGCTCTAATAGCTCCATATGATAATGCGATTAATTCACCAATAACAATTTTTCGTTGGATTAAGTTTGATTTTCCATAAATTAGCGATATTATTTCGTCATCCGATACGTTTACGGCAATTCCAATCGTAACAAACGGGCTAGACGATATTCTAAATGGCCGACGGATAAAACGATAGCACATCGAATTGTCTTCTAGATTCAACCACAAAAACTGTACGTAATCCCGATGTTCCTTGTCGATTTCGATATTATGAAAAACAGATTGTATATCATTGATTATACCGATTGGTTTCATGCAAAACTTCAATAATGGTCGAACGATATCCCACAATATGATTTCTTTAAAAATCGCTTTATTCCATGGTTGTTTTTCATCATCTCGACTAATCACAAAATGCGGTATACGATAGCTGATGTTCGGTGCTATTTTCGTCGGTTCGATTACTTCTTTTGTTTCCATATCATTCATCATTGAGCGATACTGTTTTCGCCGGTCAACGTTCATTTGCATCAACATATGATTCATCACTTCTTTAATTTCATTGACATTTGGATCGATTTTTTCGTTGATAATAAACGGTACTTTGATTGAATATTGTTTGCTCGAATCGTCGTATTTAACATCTTCAGTTTTACAATAGTTTGTCATAACTTTATTCATAATCAGTTTGGATTCTTTATCGACATTGTGTTCTGGACCAATTTCGTTACCGATGTTCTTGCATGATGACAATACTCCGTTCAAATTTCTTGACAATCCAAACACTGTCCAACCTAATGTTGTTCGTTTGGCCACGAGATCGATCGATAATCGTTTTTCATCTTCCAACTGTATCTTGTTGATGTTGTCCAGACCAATCAAAATATCTACCATCTTTGGTTCATCATAAAACGGAATATTTTGTTGTCGTATCAATAATTGTTGTTCATGATTTACACAATCGAATCGTAATGTATTTATTTTATCGTTGATGCGGAATTTCAAATGTTCGTTGCTTCCATCACAGATTGGGATCGATAATGAAACTACTTTACTTCCGGTAATAGTAGGCGTTGATTGACTTAGCGTTTCCATACAAATCGGTTCAACTTCATCGGTTCGCAATTTCCATAATTCGGCTAATCGTCGTGAAATGAATGATGATCCTGATCCATCGTCGAACAACACTCTTACGTTACGTCCGTTAATCGTAGCCATCGTTGTCTTGTATAGACTCGTGCTGTTTTGTGTCAACAAATTGTTTGTTACGGATTGTTTCGATGATTGATTCACATTTGACGCCGATGATTCAGCAATTTGTTTCGGTACTGTTTGATCATTACTAGCATTATTCGTTGATTCAATTTCGTTTGTCGTGGTTGGTGGAAATGATTTGGGTTTCAAATCGTTGCACAAATACGTTATATGATTCTTGTTACAGATGTCACATTTGAATCGTCGATCACAATCTTTACTGTTATGTCGGAAACCACCACACCTGAAACACATTCGTTTATCGATAGCAATTTGTCGTCGTTCTTGTATCGTCAATGGACAATTCTCTGTTTTATGATTACCGTCGGCGAACATGCACGTGTTTGTCGATGTAGTCATCATTACATTATTCGTCGTTCGATTTGCAACCATGCTTGGTCGATTAGTCGATTTTACATTCAGATCACTGGACGCGATCTGCGATATAGCCGTTCGTTCTCGATCGAGGCCTGTTTTAAAGTACTGTAAGATTTGCTCCAGTGTGATAGCACGTTTATCGCCGATATGCATGAAATGTGCTCGATCGATTTTCTGTAGTAGCACGCCCACTAACGATCTCTCTTCTGAAGCGAGATTTGCGCTTGATAATGTATTTCTTATCAGTATGGTAACTTCCACTAATGCCTCCCAGTCTCGTTCTAATGGTCGCAATGATAAGAACGGCGCCTTCCGAAGTCGGTCCACTAGCGCGGGAATTATCCGATTGGGACTGGCATAATGTTCGTCGAGTTCAGCCATTATTGAAACCATTGTGCATGTATTTGGATTAAAGCACTCGATGATGTAGCGATCTTTGTGCGGCAGCAAATCAATGATTTCCATGATTTTATTAGCATTTCCTCTGATTTGTGGATTGTCGACGACGTAATGTTGAATCGTTTTCCGAAAAGTATGATATGCTAAAGGATCACCGTTGAATTTTTCAAGCTTCTTCGCGGCCACTTTGGCTCCGCCCGACCAGTTCGTCTGATATTGATTATAATCCCACCAAAAAGCTTGATCGTTGTAATAATAATATTGATCGTTATGATAATATGGAACGTTTGGATGTTGATAACTGTTATACGATGATGACGATGGTTGAGGATTATTTACGTACGGTGCATTCGGCTGCTGTTGTTTTTGATTATCGTTCGATGTTGATTGTTGCTGTTGTTCACTTTCGCTATTCGATGTCGATTGCTTTTGATGATGATAAATCGTATACAACGGTTGATTGTTTTCGTTACTTGACGTCGATGGTTGTGGCATTAATATTGGTGTTGCATCAGGTGGCGTGACATCGATAGTATCGTATGATTGATTGTTTTGGGTAGCGCCCTCTCGTGATGGATTCGTTTCGATTGTTTTCGTTCGATTTTTCGTTAGGCTATGGTCACACTAGCATTGACTAAACAGACCAAGACTGAAAGTCTTTAAGACATGTTCAACCGAGTGGTCACATTATCGCAAACTAGTTGACTAGAAAACCACTATTTTAACAAAGTTGGATCGTGAAGTGCATTTTGAAATATTTAAAAATATTTTTTGGCGCGTTAGAATTAATCCAAATTACAAGTTGTTGTTTATTTGATGAAACAGATGCACAATCACAATTGATATAATAATGATAATAAAAATAATTTATTATAAAAATAATAAAAATGATAATAATTAGAAATGAATTACAAAGCATAAACAATATTTGAGATCAAGAAAGAGAGAGAATAAGACGAAATCACAAAATTACAATCCAAGCACCGCATGGTTAATCGAGCTAGTTCTTTATATATATGTAGCCATATCCACAGACAGGCGCATGTTGATTTACATATGATGAGCGTTCACTGATTTACAATATCGGTGACTAAACGTCAACACTCCCCTGTCATCGATATGTCAATCATATTCCATAGTTTCATCATTTGTTCATGTTTTTCGGGCAATAGAATTTTCGTTAACCAATCGGCCAACTATTTCGCTGTGTCGATCCAAGAGACGTTCATAATATTCTCCCGTATCAATTGTCTAACCATGTGATATTTTATGTCGATATGTTTCAATTTCGAAGGAAATGCCAATTGATTTAATTGCACGATGGCTGACTGATTGTCAACGTAAATTGTCGGTTGTTCGATATAGATTTGAAGTTCGTTGAAAATGTTCATGATAGAGCGAACTTCCTTTGAACACATGCTACATGCAACAAATTCAGCTTCGGACGTATTGTCCACCACCATTTTTTGTGTCTTGGTGCTAGATAAAAAAGTTTCACTCGGCTCGGTTTGAATAATTTAGATCTTATTAGAAAACATTATCGATGTTATTACAACCGATGATAAAATTACAATGATCGTCAAAAAGGAGGAAAAATCACAATATTAAGAGAAAAAGCAAAACATCATGCTCACACTCTGAGAAAAAGCCTCATGACTCAGCTACCATGATTGCTACCATCGTTTTCTTTCTTGCCCCATGATTCCTCACCACTGTTTCTTTTTTCTCCATTCCTCCCCTCTCCAATAGTTCACGTCGGTCCAATCATTCAGCAGATTAATTACCAAGAAATTCATCCAATGATTTTGTAAAACAATAAGATATTTTCCAACAAAGATAAAATCATCTCCATAAATTCGGTTATCATCGTAAAATCTTGATAAATTTTTCAAATCGTAGTTCAAAAATTTTAGTTGAATTGATTTAATTAAAATCACTAATTCATTTCGATCTGGAACGATCATCATCTTCCAATTATTTCGATGTCGGTCAATTAATTCAACCCATAGTCATCTTCCAATTGTAATTTTTTTTTCAAATTCTTTTGATGTTTGTTTGATGAAAGATTCGTTCGCATTCAATTTCGGTAATGATATTCGCAGATGATCGTTATTGCATCGTCGATTCAAATTGAAATTGAAATTTTATTTATCCCATGTTATAAAATTTAAAATTACAATATGCAAAAAAAAATTCGAAATAAATAATAATTGGAAGAAAAACAACGACATCATTTATTAAAAAATTTGCCGCCACGGTAATTTTTTGAAATGGTGAAAGCATACACTTTTGGTAACAAATTAATATGATGAAAAAATACCAACATGGTATAAAAATGGCCAGTCTCCAGTCTTGGCTCGTAGCCAGTCCTGCAGATCAAACGTGTTCAATCTTTCAGACTAAAAGATTTAAGACCAAGAAAAGCGACAAAACAGACTTCTACTTTCACAATGCATTTTTAGTCTCGTTTGTCTCTTTAGTCGTAAAAGACTGTGCTAGTGTGACCGTAGCCTTACATTCAACTCGTGGAATCGATTGACGACTTTGATTACATGATCCGCGATACATGGATATTGTTCAGCGATTCGGCTGATTTCGTTACATTTATCTTCGGTTAATTGTCGTTCAAATTTCGTTAAATCATTCCTTTCGGAATTTCGTTCGATAACATCCATACTTTGTGCGTATTTAAACGCTAAATCCACCATCGATTTCATTTCATCAAACGGTTTCTCTTCTTCGGATGTGAACTTTCCATCCTCGATAATCAACTTACTATATTTGTAGTATTCATCGTATAATAATTTTCCCGTTTTGATTGCAGCCTTTACTCCTTGGTGAAATATCGATATATTGTTTATACGTATCCGTTTAACCAGATCCTTTACTTCGTTCCTCAGCATTTCCGGATTTATATCGTCACCGTATTCGGTACCCGCCCTCGTAAGAACCATCTTCGTTCTCGTTTCGTCGTTGCGGTTTTCGATTATTCGAACGTTTAATTTCGTAGCTCGTTGATTATCGTTATTCGTTCTCGTGCTGAATCGTTCGTCGTTGTTTACGTTCGTCGTGGTCGTCGTTCATTCGTCGTCGTCGTCGTTATCGTTCGTCGTCGTTAATTTCGTTCGCTATCGTTAATTTCGTTTGATCGTTATCGTTATCGTTCGCCGTCATTCGTCGTTGATCGTTCGTCGTCATAGATCGTCGTCGTTACCGTCGTTTGTTATTCTCGTCGTTCGTTACTTTCGTTCGTTCGTTCGTTCGTACGTTTGTCGTTCGTTTGTCGTTCGTTCGTTCGTTCGTTCGTCGTTCGTTCGTTCGTTCGTTCGTCGAAAACCAATATGTTGCTTAGCGAGGCAATCATATGGTGCTGATAACGTAAATGTAGCAAAACATGCTCAAAAGAAAAACAAACGATCGCTGATCAACAAAATGAAAACTTTATTTCATATAATTTATTAATACGATGTCTTTACCGATATAAATCATAAACATAATATAATAAAAAAAATCAATACAGCATAAAAATAAACGACGAAGAAGAAACTCTATTCATCTTCATCACGGTCAATACTCAATTTCTTGTTAGTTAATTATCGCCACCTATCGACCGATATTTTTTCAACACCCCGATGACTGTTTTGAACGTTAGTGTTTTATATACTTTGTATATTATGTTCTTATTTTTTTTACTGTATATAAAATGATTGTTAATAAAATTTATTAGTTCAGTTCAATATTTTAAATTGACTGCTTCACTTATTTTTTCTTATTTCTTCTTTTGATCATCATTAAAACCCCGAAAATATTGATTCGAATAATGGTTATAATTGTTTCACCTAAATATCGATTGTTTAATTTTTATTCATTTCATTCCATTTTCGTCTCTGATATTCTTTTTCTTCTTATTTAGTTATTGTTATTAGTATCACTACTATATATTTATTTTCATTTTCATATGTTTTTCCTAGGAATAATGTACCAAAAACAAATGATAATTAAAATGTGAACTATTTTGTATAAAAACACCACATTAAGCTAAAAATTGGGCGTTATTTTTTTTAAATACCAGTCAAATTAATCGAAAAATGAGTGTTGACTAGAAATAAAACTTCAGAATGTTACATAATCATACCAAAAAGAAAGATCAATATATTCATTCATTGTACTGGGGAAAATTGAAATTTTATGTTCTTAAAACATCATCATATTAAAATTCCAAGAAAGAAATTCAACACCAGTGTACAGAAAAATTTTAATTCCAGACATTTTATCATTATTCTGGTTTATCATATATCTTGTGGAACCAAAAGTATTTAATACCTAGAATTTTTGTCAGACTTATATTGATGGTTGTTGATACAAAATTTCATTAAAAATGCATTTCAAAATCCGTCATCTATGTTATAATCATGCAAAAGAAATTTTCGAACGATATCATACACCTGGATATCAAATCATGCATTCGATAGAGATTATTCTTTTCAATTTTTGGATCTTTCGAATGTCATTAGCGATATTTAGTTATCGTAGACAAGAATTAAATTATTGGCTTTATGATCCATGTACTGTATTGTTTCATCATTTAAATCCAAAGCTTCATATTCATTATACATGCATTGTGGCCATTATTGTATTGACGGCAATGGTTGAAACATATTTTATTTTTTTCTATCGTACCACTCCATCTGTTTATCAATATTTATATGATTTGGTAGTCGTGAATACAAAACAAATCACTCATTGTTATTATCCACAAGATATGATAACACAAATGGTGGAAAAAACATATCGAATTAATCTTAAAAAATTTCAATACAACAACATGATATTCAGTCATTCAAGTCCATTACATTATATTGGACAATTCTATTGTTGGCATATGACGAAAATTCAATTTAAACTTCAACTTAAACATTTGAATCAAAGAAAATTATCATCATTCAAATTGCAATCAATACCATGTTTATCAATTAAAAGTCGATCAATGTTACAACTTGGACTTTATTGTATGGATACGATTGTTTATTATTTCCATTTTTTCATCGGTCAGTGTTCTTGTTATTTATTTTTTGATGGTGAAAATTAATTTTTATTTAAATTTTTTTTTTTAGGATTTTTTGCAATGCCAGCAATGATATTCTATTATTATACAATCTGTGATATTTTTCATCCTACTCATTGGTATTGCCATTTATTGTTATTGATTGAAATAGCAATCATTTTACACAATGGATTTCTCATTTTTCAACTAATATGGATAATATCGACATTAATTGTTTTGCTCGTCATTGCATTTTGTTCAATTCAACTAGAAGCAATGAATAATCTTCTGAAACGTATCCACATTCACTTATCAAATCGTTTACCAATCTATTCAAAATCACGAACTTTCAATCTTTTATCATCACTTTATTTGGAACATGGACGAATTTGTCAATTCTATATGATTATATTCACAAAATTATTAGGCAAAATACTTTTAGTATTTTTGGCATTTACATTACCAATGAATGTATTATTTTTGATTGCTTTTTGTACAAAAAATTTAAGTTGGATTGAAAAAATGGAAATCGCAATCATATTTTGTTTTCATTCATTTATTCTGATACAATCACAGTTAACATTAGCAATGCAAACTGAAATCCTTCATCATCCAAAAAAATATTTAGTATCCATTATTCCAAATGTCATTTGTTTAAGATTGAAAATGAAATTATCCGATTTACATTATCGCCTTACACAAGGACCAAAATATGGACCAATCTTATCGATATTTGGTGCAATAACCAATAGAATAGTTTTACAGGTAAAGTAAAATGAATTTTAGTGTTGATTATACGAAATTAATTTTTTTTATTTTTCTTGAAAAAAGATGGTCATCATTTATATTGGTTTCTTGATTTTTATTCTGTCTAATTTTCAAAATATTTACCAGTAGAAAAATAGTTTTTCAATAAAAATTGTCGATTATAATGATAAACGTCATGATTCATGTCTTAAATTATCAATAAAAATTCTATACAATAGCATACATAACATATGTATTGATTCCGCAAAGATTTTTTCCACGTTTCATATGGAAAAATCCTTTCTCACCCCAATTACGTCCATAACTATTTTTTATTATCCAGGAATGTTCATCCCATCCGACAATTGTAACTGCATGATTTGTTTGTTTAGAACAACTATCATTGTCGTAGACACCAGTTTTATAATGTTTCATTAATGAATTATCCACATGAATGGTTGTATATATTGGACCAAATTCTCGTACAATATACATGATCTCTTCATCCGTCAACTCTTCTTGTCGACCATTCAGTTTAACATATTTTCCACGTAGACAATAATCTTCGATTGTAGCTGCCTTTCTTAATCGTTCACTTTTAGGACATTCATTATCTTTAGCTTTATATGGTAATGATGTTTCCCGTGAAATACCTTCACGTCGTATCATATATTTATAAGCATCAGCACCGGTACCTCCTTTACAGCCATTATGTTTAGCACAGGCTAATATTTCTTGTTCACTTAAATCAAAATGTCGTTCACCAGTCTTATTATTGATGAGATATGCACTTTCAACATTGGCTATACTGGTAAATGCCCAACAACTACCACATTCACCTTGAAATTTCACAGGTGTCACAACATTTGCTTCGCGCCAATCCAATTTTGTTGGTAATTTTGCACGATTTTTTACTAAACATTTTTTTGGCACCTCTGCCGCTCTTTTGGATCGATTTCCATCATTTACAGATCGATCAAATTTCTGTCTATCAGGATAATCATTTGAATTGTTTTTTTGATGATGCTTCTGCTTGTCTGCGATTTCTTGCCGATTCATTTGTGGCCTGGGATGTCGGTTAACTCCACTGAATTTATTGATGAAAGAATTCTTGCTTCGTTCATCAGAATTGTTTGTTGTTTCCACTTGATTAGTTGTTCTACGATGTTGATCTTCATTATCATCTTGTTCTGAAATTTTTTCTCCTTGCATTTTATTGAAATCTTCATCACTCTATGAAAAAAAGTTGCAAAAATTAAATTTAAACGAAAATTATGTAATTAAAATTACACACACACATACCCAATCAGAAAGATGTGTGAGTCCAAGTTGGAATCCACCAGGTTTCACTACACAACCCAAAGTATGTTTGGCAATTCTATGCATTGAATCGAGTAGATTTTTTATACGTTCTGGAAATGGTTTACTCTCAAATTGATCGTTGGAATAATGTCTCTATTGTAATATATTATGAATTAGATTTTCAATTTACAATTAATTTTCCACTACTTACATAGAATGATTTCACTGTTGTGAGAAATGTATTTTCAAAAATATTATGCTCTTCCTGTTCACCATTATCATCATCATCGTCATCATTCATAATCATATTGTAACAGGATTTTAATTGATCAATTTTAAATCGGCTCATATTTGGATATAATGATGAAAACATTTGATCTGGTAGTATGCCTGATAGTTTTAGCAATGAATCCACTTCATTTTGATTTTTTTCAATCAAACTCATTATCTTTTCACGTAATGGTGACATTTTTTTCAATTTATTCAACAGATTATTTGATGCTATTTTTGTTGGTAATGTTGCCAATTTTTTAACATTTTCTGATGTTATATGTTTAACACCAGGTAATTTAAACAGATCACAATGGCCATAATTAATGATGGCTAAATGAAACAAGATTAAATTCGTGATGAATAATAATTTCATTATGATAATTATCGATTGATGAATATCGATTTAAGCTAAAGCTTTTTATATATACATACTAATAATCAGGATATAGGAAAACATTTTTATTTTTTTTTTGTTCGGCTTTCCTTGAAATTTTGATCCCAATCATGTTAAAATTTTTGAACAAAGTCATCGTCCTTGAATGACATTTATCACAATTAATCAGACAATTCATCTGATTTGTTGCTCAATTTGTTGATGTTTAATTGGAAAAAGCATTTTTTTAATGTCCGGAATTTTACAATCATTAGATTCCAAAAGATGTCACTACTAACGAATTAAATTTTTGTTTACATTTTTTTTTGGCAGATTGCACGAATGTTGCCCAATCGGGCTGAAATCGTTTGTTCCAAAAAAAGCAAAAAAAATGGTAATCAATATTTAATATGGGCTTTGAAAATGAAATTTATTCCATTGCATTTAGGATCTCAATGAAAGGAAATTTTTGGTACAACAAAAATTGTAAAAACAAAAATAAACAAAACTGATTACTGAATTTTCAACCTAATCATTGTAAATCTGGTGTTGATGAACCCATGTAGATACGAAGATCATCGGCAGTTGATTTTACCAATTTGGATCGTATTGTTTGTAGACCAAGACGTTTTGCAGCATCAAAACGATGACAGCCACCAAATGAAAAATAATGATCACCACCATTACGTCCTTTGATCCATAATACATCGATCGGTGGTATTTGTTCAGGATTGTCCTGAAATTGAAAACAAAATCGAATCTAATCTAAACTTGGAATACGGCTAAATTCAAATCACAAACCTTAAACGTTTGCATCAAACTTTGAACTTTATTTTCATCCAAAACTGGCGGTATTGGTCGATGTATGACCGACATTGGTACATCATGAATTTCATTTATCTGTGCCGAATGAATACTACGATTTTCTGAATTCGATGATGACATTGTTCTTTTAATTAATCGATATCGACTGGTAATGAACAAATGATTTTTTATATAAAATTCATCGACTAATAAATATGACTTTTCCCTAATAATTTTAGTGATAATATAACTACAGTTTTGCAATTTCATTAAAAATTTGAAAAAATATTCAAAAGACAATTCTAGAATCTTTAATGGCTTCCTACAATACAGCAAAATTTTAATCAATCAAAATGGCACTTTTCGACATCATGACAATTGTGGCTTTGGCATACATCATCATCAACAATCATAGCCACTACTATTCTGCCATCATTATCATCAATGTAAAGGAAATTGTAATTGTACAAAAGAAGAACGACGTCATCGTCGTCATGGTGAACATGTATGGATTCATGGATTTTGGACTCATTTTAGGCGCCATTTTTTCAATCGAATCTACGTTAAAATTCCAATTGGAACAACCTATAGGTATGATGTTTTTTTTTATTTCATATTCATCTCAATTGTCATTTTTTTTTTGTTTATAAGTGTGTTTATGTTTTCACATTGTAAGATCGAATGTCATGTGCCGGCTATTAACATCAAAATATTCATCATTGTTATATTGGTTTTTTTTTAATTATCACCTTGACATCTTGAATCTAATATAGATTGACAAATAGAAAAAAATCTCAACAATCCTATCATTTGATTGGATTGTTGATTGATCAAAATTTTATTTTGTTTTTAGTCTTTGACTCTTATCTCCAACAATTTAATTAGTTTAATCATCATCAATTTATAATATCCGTAGCAACAACAACAACAACAAAACTTGATGGCCATGTTTATCCGTATATATTATATATTAGTATTGCATTTTTGATTGATTTTTATTTTATTTGATTGATTCAATGAACAATTTGATTAGTTATCATTCGATTTTCAGACCAAGTAAAGGAAAAAATAAAACAACTTTTTTTAAAAGAATCCTGTCCGTTTTATTATGATGATGTTTGTGCTTTAGGTACATTCTAATCAAACAGGATTCAACATTTCATCGGTTTATTGATCCGTATTTCACAATTCATTCAGTTCAATTTGATTGAGTTGAGATTTGTTTTTTTTCGAATAAAAAAACAACAAACAATTTTTTTTGATTTTTTTAAAAAAAAACATGTTTGTCAATTTTAAATTTCACTGGAAATATGATTGCATAATATGATTAAATGAGGAAAAAATTGTAAATAATTACGTTTTGAATTTCACTTTAAGTACAAATCGAATCGATCAACAACGAATGATGTGATTCTGTGAAAATTTGAAAATTTTTGACAATGAATTTTATTTCTTTAGAAAAGTGGGAAAAAAACTAGACAAAGGTGAAGAAATCATCTTCAAATTATTATTAGAAAATTTTCTTTGATGAAAGGCTAAGGTTAATTGAAAAAAACAAAAAAAAATTTCAATCATCCGATTATATATAATCCGATAATCAAATATGTGAATGCAATCTTATCATACATGAATAATTTTGTTGTTCAAATTGTTGTGCAAATACATGTCTATTTTGTGTACTTGTGTGTGTGTGTGTTTATCTATGTAATAATAATTTCTATCAATGCAATCAATAATAGATAATTGTAGAATCATCAGTAATTGTATAAAAGATCATTATTTGTACAAACTAAAGTGAGGATGAATTCTATTCATTTTATTTGATGTTTGTAAGAAGAAAATTGATTGATTTATTGATTGATTGAAATGGAAATTAATAATAATATAGAAATTAAGATGTTGATGTTCGACCAATGATTGATTGATTGATTGATTGATGGATGTATTGGTCATATAGATTATTTAGATAAATAAAAACATCATTAAAAATGATGGTAATGGTGATGATGCAACTATGATCACAATGCAATCAATCAAACAAACATTAACTATTTGTGGATGAAAAATTATGATGATGGTGTTTTTTTTTGTTGTTAATTCAATTTCCGTTTGTCGTTTTCATATTGTAAATTTTTATTTATGTTGAATAATAACGATAATAATATTGATTTTAGTGATATTAGAAAAAAAATATGGCGTCCATACATATTGTGTTCGTGACTTTTGAATATATGAATATTTTTGTTTGTTTATGTTTGAATTTTTCAAATGTTTGTTTATGAAATTTTTTTTTTGTCGATATCGATAATTTCTATATCATGTTTTCATCATCATCATCATCATCATTATCGTCGTCATATATATCTAATATTAATAGTAAAAAAAAAATACGATTGTCATGTGTACGTTGACCATAAATGAAATCTATTTCTGTATATTGACAAATAAGGTTTAAATGATGGCAATATGATGATGATGATGATGATGATCAACAGTTTGTTATGTCAACAATCTCAATGATATCATCGATATGAAAATGACATCCAAGTCCAATCTTGAATTCAATTTCCATCGATGTTGATGACGATGTTGATGTTGATGTTGATGTTGACAATAACAAGGAATAATTGGCTCAATTATTGACGTTTATTTTAAATTATATTCATATAAATGATCGTCATCAGATGAATTCAAAAAAAAAAAATGTGTAGTTAGTGTGTTACGTCGAAATACGTAATAATCCGTAATTAATTAATTTTGTATATATGATCTTTATCATTTGTGATATTATTATGAGTGCAAAATATGGAAAGAAAAATTGAAAAAACAATTCGGTCAATGTCATCATCATCATCATCATCATTGATGTGTACCAAAAATATCATATCGGATCATGAATTAGATTTATTTACAATCAATGAAACAAATAAACAAAATAAAAAAAATCATAGCTTCAAAAGTGTCAACCATTGTTTCTATTTCTAGGCTATATATATATATATATGAATGTGTACATTTATTCTCATTCTTGTTATTTTAATGTTTGTTTTTTGATGCTACTATTTCATCTGTGTATTGTGTGAGAATAATATATATATATATATATATATATGTGTATCGATGATTTTGCTTTTTGTTTGCACTCATAATCAAAAAAAAACTTGCTTGTCACTTGTGTATATACAGTTGTAACATATGGCCAAATGTGAAAATTTTCATAAATAGTTCAAGAATCTTCATCATCATCATATGAATTATAATAGAAAAAAAAATTGTAGTAGAGCAAATGTAAAATGATTATAATCCTAACCAGAGCAATAATAATAACAACAACAACAACAACAACGACAAAAATCTGAACCAAATTAAATAGGAAAAAAAACTAGCAGCATAGAAGAACTTGTTGCATCGTACAACAAGCATATTCACCATTTTTTTTTTCGTTTATGTCTCCATGTTTCAGTTTTTTTTTTTTTGGTATTCATTTTGTTGTTGTTGTTTTTGAATGGATTATTTTGGACGAAAAAAAAGACTCTATCATTATGGTTAATACTTCAATAAAAATTATGATTATCTGATTTGAATAATCCGATAATTTCATGGGATATTCCATCATTTATAATTTGGACGAATGGCGAATATGTATGAACATCATCATAACCATTTTCATTTGAATTTTGTTGCAAAGCCGACGACGACGACGACGATGATGATGATGATGATTATGTTGGATATATGATTCCAACATTTTATACAACAAACATACAATCATCATGGTGTTGATGATGGCAATGATAGTGGTGATGGCGCCGCCATGATATTATTCAAGATTTTTTTTTCCTCTTTCTTTTTTTTTCTCACTCTTTTTTTTGTACGGTTCGGTTCGTTTTGTTTCGTCGAATTTCTTCGAATGCAACATCTTCACCAATTCGGCAAAACATACTAAACTTAACATCTCGTTTTTTCATCATCATCGTCGTCTTGGTTCGTTTGTTAAATGGTATGTTTATGATTCGATGTAAATTTTTTTGTTTTTGGCCGACAAACGGTATAATAAATTTTCATTTGCATAATAATATAAAATCATCAATTTCACAACTATGAAAATTTCAGATAAACATGATGTTGTTGTCTGTTTGTGTTTGAATTTTCAATCATATGATATATCGATTTTTCATCATCAATAATAATTGATTGAAATGAAATGTTTTCTTTTCCAACACTGATAATGATAACTGTTTTTGGAAAAAATTCAAGTTATTTAATCAATGTTTTGAATGTGATTTTTGTTTCATTCAAATTCATTCATCTTGTTGATTTGAATATGAATTTTATGTTATATTTTGAAATTCACTAGTAATTATTGACAAGTCATTGTCCTTTCATTTTTTTTTGTGATTATTGACAACAGGTATGTTACCGTTATATGTTTTGGATTGTTATTATCTGAAAAATTTCATGTTATTGTCTATCAATATAATGATAATGATGATATTTGCGAATATTTATCATTTCATCAAATGTAAATGATTTTCAAACATTTTTCATTCGTTTGTCATTTTGAAAAAATCTGAATTTTCATTTCGTTAATATTTGATGCTTGTGAATTGTATCATGATTTCTCTTGATGTACCGATTTGTTTTTTTTTCTATTTTTTTGTATGTATAAATTGATTATATAGGTGTCAACAGACCCTCTGTCCATCATATAATAATCATATATTAATATTAATGACGATGAAAATGAAAGAAGAAAAATTTGCAATACCATAAATACAAATATGTATGGTGGATTTCCTTCTTCATTTGAGTATTGTTTACCTTTGGACCTTTTTTCAGGCAAGATTAATCCAATATTTGATTTTTTTTTGTTGGCTAAAGATATCACAAAATCAAATATTGATTCATTTGTTGTTTTTGCTTTGTGAATGGAAAAATTTTTTTCGCCGATCCCGGAACAAAAGAGAGCATCATTTTAGTTTTGTTGTCTACGATTGACATTTTTATTTTGATTTTTTTTTTTGGTAACATAACTGTGATATCTATATAGCGAAAAAAAAAATTTTCATACAATATGATGTAATCAATCGACTTGTCTGTTTTTAATCAATTCATTCATTCATTTTCTGTTTAAATTGTTTAGATAGATTTTATTTGATTGTGACCAATTGTATGTCGTTCATATTTTTTTCCCGGTTTTCAATTTGTTTATCGATTTTTGACCTCTAATTGTTTGTTTGTTTGTTATATTCATCATCATCATCATGTTTCTTTGTTCGACCTGTTCTTAAAATAGAGAGAGAGAGAGAAAAAGAAAAACCTGAAGGTTTTTTTTTCTCTTTAAATTCAATTACATGAAAGAAAAATAAATAAAAACTTGACATTGCTCAGAGTGGTTCTTCAACTCTTTCATTATAATGGTTAGGGGAAAACACCTTTTTTTTCTTCATACACATTTGTATGGCTGAAAGGCATATAATTACATAATATAACAATTATAATATTGAAATGAAACTAGTTAGATAGAAAGATAAAGATAGCCTCTTGTCATAGCAAAAATAACATTACCATTGAAAAGAATATCTGAATTATGAATTAAAATTCTCGATTTAATTTACTACTACTACTAATAATTAGATTCGGCATAAAAGGATTGGTATTCCATAAATAAATTTTTATATTTGATACTCCCCTTTTTGGTGATGATGAGATGAGAATTTGCATCGCATTCTTTTTTTTTTTGGATGGGATGAATTCCAATTCTTCAAATTCATTCTATAAACAATCTTTTTTTTCGTTGACGTTAACGTTGTTGTTGTTGTTGTTTATACAAAACATCATTAAAAACTTGAGAGAGGAGGCAGTATACTGTTGATAGAATTTTTTTTCTTGTTCATTTCATTCTGATGACGAAATTGAATATTTCAATCCTAATAGAATATATGTTCATATGATGACGTTGATATTTTTAGATTTTTTTCTCCCTCTCTCTCTCTCTCTCTCTCTCTCTCTCTCTCTCTCTCTCTCTCTCTCTCAAAAAACCAATTCTTTCTTCATCAAAGAATCATCTTTGTTACTAGCATTCGTTTTTCCTGGTCGATTATGAAATATTTGACTTATGAAAACTGAATTACTGAATAAACAAAAATTTTTTTTTTTTTGAAAAAAATGAGAAAAATTTTATTTAATCCATAAAATTTCAATATATTCTTAATGTTTATGGCCATACAATAATGATTGCAAACATTGGCCACAAACATTAATGTACATTTTTTTTATATAAATTGTACAAGAATCCATCTATATGGCTAGTGTGTGTGTGTGTGTCTTTATGTTTAGATTTTGATTGCAACCATTTGTCATCATACAGTTGCCTAGGTCACCTACGAAAATATTGATGCTGACCTACAAATAGATAAATTGGCAATACAATAACCATCTGCAATCGATCAAAATTCAATTTGATAACAATGATGAAATGATTGTGCAAAAAAAAAAAATAGGTCCCTGGATCAAAAAATGAATGCTACATGCTAAATGTTTGTTACCCAATACCCAATTTATTTATCATGATTTCATGATAATTATGATGATGAAATTATTGAATATAGCCATACAGTTAGGCACAAATTTTATATATACACACACACACACATACGCTCATAGATAGATGAAATCGGTTTCTTTTTCTCAAACCATTTTTTGTTTTGTTTTGTTTTGTTTGATTTACTGTTGACTGATTTTTATATGAATGACATTTGTTGCATTTCGCCCTTATATATGATGGCCTCGTGATTATGACTGAAACTATTTCGCATGTATTTATGTATTGCACATACTCAAGATAATTTAAAATCAGTTCATTTTTTTTATTTAGTGACAAATTCATAGAGTTATAAAATTAAAAACTATATCGATCATACGATCATTCTTTAAATGATTTTTTCCTTTTCCTTTCGATAATGGAAATTTTTTTTTTTTGGCATTAACAACCACCCATTTCGATGATGATGAGATGATTGCAGATGTGTTGTTACAAAATGAACAAACAAATTTAGATAACTTATCATAAATGAAATCACATTAAAGATGAAATCAAATTTCCATCTTTTTATTTATCAAAGGTTATTTCCAGAGAAAATTTCGTATAAATGCACTCGCACGTGCTACATATTGATGATTTGATTATACATATGATTTGTCCATATTATATACAGAATTCACTAAATTCAATAGAAAATTTGTATTGGAATTTTTAATAGATTCTATTTTAGGCGAATGAATTCTCTTCATTATATTTTTTTTATCGATAATCGTGATTTCAACAAATGATGATGATGATGATGATGATGATTGCAATTGGAAATTGAAAACCATTATATTTACAATAATTACAACAATTGTAAATTGTATTTCATGTTTTGTTTAAAAATGAAAAAGAAAAAAGACAGACGAGCGAACCTCTTACGTAAAAAAAAGGAGTAACTAAAAAACGTAAACGCTATTTGATTATACATTGGTCGATTCGATAAAATTTCGAAATTTTTTTTTCATTTTATTTATTTATATGCAAAAAAAAATCCACCATTTTTTCCCATGTATATATTTCATTATGATGATCAATTTTATTCATATAACGTATAAATATTTTTTTTTTTCATTATTTCAATTTCAAAGGTTCCCAGGTTACACACACACACACATACATAATTACACGGTTGTTAATTAATCCATTGGCTATATATTAATTGAAAATGTGTGTGGGAGAAAGAGAGAGAGAGAAACAACATAAAAAAAAGGAAAAAGAAATCAATAATCAGGTGCAATCCACCATCAAAATCATCATCACCACCATCATCATTGGCAATAAAGATAAGGATTTTTTTGTTGTTGTTGTTGTTGTTGATTGGATATCATTTTTTTTGTGGACCCAAATAACAATGTTGTTATAATTATTATTATCCTTGGATTTGGATTTGATTTTTTTTTTAGTAATTCCTTTGAAATTATAAATACAATACAATGATTTTAAAATTTAATAAAAAAAAAAAAAAAATAAATCGAATGTGAGTAAACTCCCATCATCATTTCTATTTCTGTAATCCCGTTCTTTTTTTTTTTTTTCGTTTGGGAATATTACCAGAAATAAATTAGATTTCTATTCAATTAAAAAAAAAAAATGTTGATCAATCATGATTGACGAAGGTAGATTAACTTTGATTTTCTTTTTTTTTTAAATTTTTTTTAATCCAATACATCAAGTTATCATCATCATCATCATCATCAACATTGGCATCAATATATATAATTTAATTGATGATGATGATTTTATTTAAAATCATTATGTCCATCCATCCATCTATCCAATCATCCATACATCGCATTATCATCATCATCATCATCATTCCATATTCTTATCACGTGTGTATGATGATAACAGTGTAATATCCAGTGATTTCCATTACAAGAAGGAGTGTCTTTTTTTATGTTCTCTTATTTTATTGTCTGTTATTAGATTTTTTTTGTTGTTTTGTTTCATTTCATTCTTCTACCTCTACATTCAAAATGAAAATTTTGATTGAGAAAAAAAGATTGAAGATTTTTTTTTTGGTAGCTGCTTATATATATAAAAAGGTTTCGTTTAGTGTCGATAAAACTTTATAATACAAATGAAACTTTCGATCTATCGAAATATATACACTGATATATTGTGAATAATAAAAGAAAAAAAAACTTAATCTGATTACATTCTTCGTTGAAAAAAATGGCTTTAAAATTACTTTGATTTTTTTTCTACCCATTACTTCGACCGATTTTTGGATTTTTTTTTTTGTTTTAATGTTTTCTGATTGATTTAATCTGTGAAATTTTTTTTTGTTACAAAATGAGTTTAATACTAACGACCAGTTCAATTCATAACCATGGTTTCAATTTTATCAGTGACGATTATCGTCACTGTGATAATGACCGCATATTGATGATGACCAATGTGATTGATGATGATTCTCATTCAAATGATGGTGATGATGATGAAAAAAATTTTTCCAAATCATTTCAATCATCAATATTATCATTAATTGATGATGTTGATGTTAATCTACATGATAATGATCAACATGATGATGATTATCAATTTAAATTTGACAACAATGATGATTATGATTTCAATATTAATTATAATAATAATAATAATAATTTCGATCAATCTAAAGGAAAACAACTGTCACAATCATTAACATCATTATCGAAAACATCCGATAAAACATTGGCAACATTGGTTTCAACAAGCGTCAAACATCGTCATGATCATCATGAAAAAAGTATTAAATGCCAAAAGAACAAGAAGCAATCGTTGATTGCAATCAATGTTCAACAACCACAGCAACGAAAACGTTTCTGTTCATCATCTTTATCGAAAACTTCATCATCATTTGATGAAATTAAACAACCATCAATTAACAATATCGATAACATTCAATACGAACAAAAACAAGAACAATCAGAATCATTCATCATTAACAAAAAACAGGCAAACGTGGATAGTTGCTATTTTTCTGGAAGTGATTCTTCATTATCATCGACATCTAGTATCGAAGATATTAATCAATCATCTATGAAAATGTCACCATCATTGCCTTTGCCATTTGTATATGGTGAATTGACAAGGTATGTTTTTTTTAAAAACGAATCTTTTCAAATGTTTTCATTTTAATTCAAATTATTATCAATCTAGACGTTGGCATGATGCTTGGTTATTAGATAACACAAACGACAGAGGAAATATTAATAGGAAGGAAATAAACACGGCCACTGTCAAATATGATGATGATGATGATGATGATGATGATGATTGTGATATTAATGTTAATCATCATCATTTTATGACGAAACAAAACTCAATTGCTTTTGACAAACAAAAATATGTACAATCCAAATCAAACAATTATAATAACAATGATGGCAATAATTGTAATAATAATAATCATAATAATAATCCTGTTACATATCAACGACGTTTGATTAGAGATATTCAATCAAAATTTCATTTTATTGATCTTTATCCAACTGAATCACAAATTTATGAAATGATACAATTTGCATCGAAATGTTCTCGACGTAAAACATTGCATACAATTTCTGAAGCGGCCACAACAGAAGCAATTAATGTCAAACAATCGAATAATAATAATAAACCAGCTGAAACTGGATTAACATTTGGAGAGTTTTGTTTTTTTGCCAGTGTTTTAACAACAAATGCTCGGTAAATTGACTATCGATTTTTTTCTTTAATTGTACAACTATTTGATAATGGATTGTTTCTTTTTTTGCTATTTAAATTAGTGCATCACATAATTCACGTCAATTCATGTCGAATCATGTGTCGCCAATTCGTATGGAACATTTTCAACAACAAACATCCAATCATGGTTTTTCAGCTGCTGTAGCTCATTATAATAATCGTAATAGCAATCAAACACCGGGTCATTATAGTTATCCTCATCTACGTGGTGGCTATCCTAGCCATCATCGAACTAGTCTAGTCGACGGTCATGTTAATTCTAATCCAAACAAATTTGATAGTAAGTTGTTATCATATTAAACATCGAATTAAATTTAATTATTTTAATTCGAATTCGAATCATCAGTTTTTCTTGGCGGCTCCTGTAACCCAACACGTTGGCGTTTAGATCTGGTGATGCCCGAGTTGAAAAAGAAATGTCTCACCTATTATAATCCAGTAAGTGACTGAGATGCTTACAATGAATATACTTATATTGATTATTTATCATGAAAAACAAATTAGCAAGTCGATCATTGGGGACCAGAACTTATTGAAATGGAAAGCTATGCCAAACAAAATTCTGATGTATTATTTTTTGTTGTCGATAATCAAACACGTGCCATTGCATCGATGATTGAAGTTGCATTTATTGCTGCATCATCGAGAAAATTGATTCTGGTCATTATTGATCTCGAACCATGGTCTGAACAAACAACCATTGGTGATGATCATATTTGTAAAGAAGAATATGAATATTTACGTCGTGGTCGTCAATATCTTCGTGATATTGTAGAACGTGAAGAAATCCCTATATTCTGTGATATTTCTAAAGCTCTTCGTTCGGCTATTCAAATTCTTGATGAAAATGTTTGGCCACAAGATTTAGCTCATAGTGATGATGTCATACCAGTGAAAAATGGACGAATTTCATTGGGTGAAAAAATTATTCAAGTTAATCATGTATATAATCAATCGAGAAATTCTAAAGAAGAAGTCACGATGAAAGAATTGAGTTTTGCTTATCTTAGTTGGACACGACGAGTTATAACATCGGATTTGTTGAGACAAATCGCTAGATGGCATTTAGCTCAAAAATCATCAGATGGAAAAACTGTTGATATACTTCCACCTTTTGATCAGATTCCATTAGATTTTAATGATTTCTGTATTATTGTATCCGAACTTGAAATGCAATGGAATCGGATGCAAAATATTTCTGATGAAAATGAAATCAATCAAAATATAGATTGTGATGTTGAACGAATTTCGGAAGGATCTGAAAATTCTGAAACAACTGGAAGAGATAGTTTTACAAGTACAACAACAATTGAAACGGATTCGGATAGCTGCCGAACATTGAATTCGAAGAAAAAAACCAAATCAAAGAAAAAATCTTCTAGCAGCCATAAACGATCATCTTCTAATGAAACTACCAATACAGTCATTAATCAAGTTGTAGAGAAAATTTCCACTCTATTCAAATCATGGGGAATAGATCCTGGCATTAATAACAATAATGAACCAAATGTTAATTCTGAAAACACAAAGAAAGAAAAAAATAGAAAACATCGTAATTCTTCAAAAACAAAAAAATCAAATTCTTTGAATAGAAAAGTATTTACTAGCGAAACGGATGTAATTGAAAAATCTTATGCACCAATGTTTAATTCTCCATCAACGGCAATGATCAATCCATCCTATATGCCGCCAGAAGAATATATGATGAGATCTAGTCAATCATTGAATCAATTGAATTTGGATATCGATTATCGTAATCAACAACAACATCAACATCGTCATCATCGACAATCATATCATTTGAATCCACCACATCAACATCATCTAAATCATTACCATCATTATCCTCCTCGTCATCGTAATTCTGTATCACCATTTCGTAAATCATCATCACCTCGTCTTGCCTATATGGACCAATCCAATATGAACTATGAAGATCCTCATGTGAATTATCGTCGTCGTTCCTATAATCAACATCGATCATCGACAGCATTTTTACCGCCACTACATTCATCACATCGTCAGCAAACATCACATATGATTTCGTCATCATCACAAACATCAATTAATTCCATGAACGAGAATGGCTATGATCTTTATCTTGGTGGTTATTTGGATTCAACATTGTTACAGGATAAGATTATACCATCGCTCAAGTAAGTCTAATCAGTGAATCCTTTAAATCCTTATTAATGAAATTTACCCGTTTAATAAACAAATTACAGAAAGAATTCGATCACGTTCAGTTTGCCAAAGTTTGATAAACTAGCCAAATATGAACGTATGACACCATTAGAAGCGATAAATATTGAAAAATGTCGTCTACTTTTTTTCGTTATACCGGAGGATTCATTAGATATTTCATCAATGATTGTGGTAAGTTTTTTTTTGTCGTGCATTTTCTCTATTGATTTTAATCCAAAATATTTTTCTATCATAAAAATAGGCCGCCCATTATGTTGGATTGGGCTTTCAAGTGGTACTCTGTATTCAATATATCGATCCGGTTAAATCAAAATTAGCTTCAAAGGTAACGATTTTTTTTATCGATTATTGATCATTTAATTAATTGTTTCTTTCCACTTGTTTCCACAAACAAATCGACATCATTATCTTAACAGTTGAGTCCAATGGCAGTCAAAGATTATAATCGTGGTCGATCATATCTTTCGGATATGGCAACCAAATCTCATGTACCGGTTTTCGATGATATCGATGAAGCAATTCAATGCTGTATTGATTGTTGTCTCCGTGAACGATGATATATTTCATTGCCAAATATTATTATATGAAAATTCGAAATTCTAGTCGTTTTTTTCTGGAAAAAAAAACACGCACACAGATATATACACCATCAATCTACCTGTAACTTATTCTTTTAGCTGTCGCTATTCGATTTTTTTTCATCTATGATTTTTCATTCACATTCTTACGCAACGACAGCATATTTATTCGATTGAAGAATTGTGTTTTATTATATTTTGTTATTATTTTTTTTCGCTACTATGCTATCTATCAATGATTAAAAATTGTCCATTTTTTCTTCCATTTCATCATGTTTTAATGATTTTCATTCAAAAATCAAAAAAGGAATAAAAAGAAAAAAAAATCAGCTTAAATCGTTAAGTTGATTCGAGTTTTTACATTTTCCAATTTCTATATTATCAAGAGAGACAGACAGGGACAAAATAAAAATGTCTGCGTAAACAGATTTTTTTTTTTGGTTCATATAACACAAGCATCATCATCATCTAGGTTTTATGCAAGAAAAAAAGAACTGTTATTCAGTGTTCCTGGAATGTGTGTTTACTCTATATTTATTTCTATTCTATGATATTATTATGATGATGATGTCACAGAGTTTTCAAATCTCTTTAGATTCAAAACTTGTTCATTCATTTCAACATACACACAGACACACACACACTCAATTTCGAATCTTTTCGATACATATTCTCTGTATACATTTTTGTGAACAAAGTTTAATTAGAGAAAAATCGAAATTCAAATGGTGATCCAAATTCTGCTGATTCATTGGATCTTTGGATGTTGTGTTGAAATTATTACTGAGTTATTCCTTTCCACTGTCCTTGTATTTTCGATGTTGTTCATCATTGTGCCAAAAACTTTCCAGTTTTTATTTTGTTTAGCTCGATTCATGGTAAATTTTCGCATCATTGCAGCAAGTTTAATTTATTTTTCTATATATGTGGACAGAAGAAAGAAAGATTTTTGTTTTGTTTTGTTTTGTTTCTGCTTTAGAGAATTTTCATTTCATTTTTTTTTTAGATTCTCGATCCAGAGAATTCTCTGGTGACACTTGCCAACCACTATTTACTATGAAAACTGATTGTTGATGTTTCGTGGTTATTATTATTAAAATTTTTTTTTCATTTTTTTTTATTAATTTTTTTTCACTTGTTTTTCTCTCTCGTAAATCATTGGTATCGTGGCCGTTGTATGTATGAGTGTTTCATGAATGTGAATGTCTCGATCATTTTTATCTTTTTTTTTCTTTTTTGTTTCTCTATTCAGGATTCATTTCATGGCACAATATGGACAAACATTTGATATGTCCAATTTTTTTCTAAATGATGATAATATATTTCACCGCCATACACACTGTACAATGTTAATATGACCGGGCCATAATCATGATTCTGGACAAACAGCAGCCAATTGAATATTTTGCATTTCGACAATCTGTGTTCACATTTATGGAAACATAAGTTATGAGGTTCTTTCCCTATTTCTTCCTCATTTCAACATTTTTGGATATTGGAATATTCTTCAAGTAGAGTGATGCGTCCCTTGTTTTTATCCATCGAATTTTATTATAATTGGCCGTCTATTTTTTTCATTTCATCTAGTTTTATCTGCTTACCGGTACAATTATTCCGAAAATTTTTATCTTTCATTAGATTTTGTGCAAATAATCACAACAGATCATCATTATAATCTCAAGTGAAGCCAGCTACCAGAATCCTAAAGCTGTTTTTGATCCGGCATCTAATAATGATCATTTTCAATTATTAATCAACGATTGATTGCTTTTCATTATTATCAATTATTTGGAAATTGTTTTTCTATTTTCTTTTCTGATGATTAATCTCAAATTTCCTTATGATGATGATTACTTGATTACAATCAATTTGTGAGAAAAATATAATCGAAACTTGTTAAGCCAACTCTAGGAATTATTCTGTATGATGGTAAAGAAGAAAATGGAGAGGTGAGAGGATAAAGTATTAATAACCATTTGATGACATTCTTCGTTGATCAAAAAAAATTTTATTATCATGTAATTTTTCATCACTTGGGAGCTAAAGTTTATTTCATTTTTTTTTGCTGTTTGCTAGGCAAAATGGACGTAAAAAGAGAATTAATTTTCAATTTTTTTTTGAACGAAAACTACAATTAGTTATCCAACTTTTCCAATGTAATAAAAAAAATTGTTTCTGAAACTTTTTTTTGCCCGTATGTAATATGTAATATCAGTGAGAATCATTTTTTTTATTCTCCACTTTTAACGACATGAAAAAATGTTTAAATTCTTGTGAATTGCAAACAGTGGAAAAAAAAGTTTGCACCCGATTCGTATGAAATTGTTAATAAATTTCATTTTTTTTCCAAATAGAAATTTGTAAAATTGATTTGACTTTGTCAATCACAGACCAGAGGAGGAAAAAAAATCAAATACCGATAAGAAAATAAGATTTTCAAATTAGACTGAAAGCTTTATTTTTGTTTCTCGGTAAATCATTTCAATTTTTTCCCAATCATTTTGTGAGGACTCTACGAATGTCATTTGGACGTTTTTTTTTCTTTGTTGCTGTCAGAAATCTGCTTATCGTTTTGAATCATCATTATTATTGTATGTATGTATGTATGTCTTTTGCAATTTATTTCATTACATGACAGAACCGTGGATTCTTTATTCATCGCTAACGATAGAGATTTAGATCAGTGATCACTAATCAGTATGGCCAATTTATAAATAAAAAAAATCATGAAGAATTAAGAAATATTGGAAAAAGAAATATATCATAGATAGGTTAATTAAATTCCAACCAAATGACAGATAAAATCCAACAACAACAACAAATGTACATCCAACAAAAAAAAAATCCAACGAAAATCTCATCTTTATATTCATTTTTTCTCTGGTGTTTCACCAACGAGAATAACAAACAAACAAAAAAATGATTCAATATTTAGTTTAGTCAACTTGAATCTTTAAAAATTTTTCATCATCGATGACAATATTTGGTGATGGTGATGATTTATATCTTTTAATTAAATCAATTCACTTTCCGATTGAAATTCCGATTGAAATGCTGTTGTTTTTTTTTTGTTTTTCAACAATTCATTGAATTCTTATCATAATCTTTTCGTATGAACAGTTTGGTATGGAAAAAAAAGGATTGAAATAATATTACAATATCCATTGTGATTCATTGGAAAAATTTTCCATACATTTTTTTTTTACCACTTCAGTATGTATTGTGGAAAAAAAATTCTTTACGGTTTTGTTACAATGACAACGACACTGTTTTAGTGGTGATGATGGCAATATATTATTGTTTTAAGAAGATTGTTTTCATAAAGAGAGAAAAAAAAATTTGAAGCCAAAAAAAAAAATTGGAAAGTTTCTCCGAATCATATCATATCTATTATCTTTTTCTGAAATAATTTTTTTCCAGTTTTTTGCCGTTATCTTCATTCGACCAGAGACAGAACCAGAAGAACCAGATGATGATGTGGTTTTAATTTTTGCGGTTTTTGTCCTAAATTTTTTTTTTTTCATTTCTTCTCAATTTTATCGTCTTGTGTTTTCTTTACTGTATTTTTTTGTGGTTGTCATCATTATAACTGTCATGTGTGTGTGTGTGTGTGTGTTTTTTTCGTTTGGTTTGTTTGTGTTAATTTTTTACATTCAATCACTTGATAATGATGATGATGATGTTCCGTTTTCTTTCTTTCGAATTTATTTTTTTCCATTCTTCCTGTCAAGCAACTATGGAGCAGATTAAAATTTTTTTTTCTCTCTCTATCTTCTTCTTTGTTGCATTTTCCTTTTCATCATTTTCTTATTTTTTAGGTTTCAGTATTTTTTATCATTTTTTTTTCTATTTCAACATGTGATGATAATGATCCAGTTGAAATTGATCAAAGCACGGTCGGTGTCTATTTTGAACCAATAATGGATGGAATTTCCTATTTTTTTTTTGCTTTTGCTTTCACTATGTGTTTGTTAGTTTGTTTGTTCCCGGCCCAAAGGAAAAAAAATAGAATTTTCTCTTACTTGGTCAAATCGGATGTCCTTTTTCTTGTGTGTGTGTGTTTATTTTCAAAAAAAAAATTGAATGACATGGTGTTCAGAATAAAGATACGCAATAATGAATATAATGGGCCGAAAAACCAAACCAAACCAAAACAAAAAGTCAGTTGAAAGAATGAAAAAAAAATTGGAAGTGAAGAATAATTTTTTAGCAATTTAGATCATCATTATATTCTGTCTTCTTGTTGTTGTTGTTGTTGTTGTGTGTTTGTTTGTTGGGCACCACAAGAAGAAATGATGATGGAAAAAAAATTTTCTGTTTTTTTTTTTTTTGGTAAAGTCAATTTTTTGAATAGTCAGATCACGTAAAATAAATGTGTGTGTGTGTGTGTGTGTGTTGTAGGTTGTAGGCTCGAGTTTTTCATTTTTTTTCTCTTCTCATACGATACAATATTTGTGTGTGTGTAGTATATGTCACGATACGGGAATCCATTGGCAAATTCCATAATTTTCATGTTTTTTTTTTGCTGTCTGTATGTAACCATCATCATCATCATCATCATCATCATTATTATTATTATCATTTCGTTAGTATTATTATCATTATTACCGTACTATTCTGTATACAGAATTTGATTATGTTTTTTTTCTCTTTCATCCGGGTCAATTCTATATCATGTGTAAAACATACATACATATCTTTTAATATGTTACCAGTGTTTTTTTTTTGGGTTTTATTTTTGTTCATTCAATCTTCAATGTCAGGTGATCTTTTGAACATTTATATTCATTTATCTTCATTATTCTTCTAGAATTTGTTGAATATTCTTAATTTCAGTAAATTCTTATTCATACATCATCTTGCAAAAACAAAACAAAACAAAACAAAAAATCACGAAAACAATATATGAAAATCAATCAAATTCCATTAACCTTATTGATTTTCTTCTTACCCTATGCTTATTATTGGGTACATCAAAAAAAAATTCGGGGCGTTTACCGATAAATATTTGTTTTTTTTTGTTTTTCTTTGGTTTTCATATATGTTTTGCATACAACGTTTGAATTATTATTCGTGTGTGTGTGTGTGTGTCATTATTTCAATTATTGTAATTTGTATTGTTTTGTTGTTTTCATGCCAAAATTATTTCATCATTTCTCGTGCTTTTTTTGATGGATAGAATCAATGATGATGAGGACGGTTATTCAAACGGATTGTTTTTTCATTCATTCATTTTTTTTGTTCGCTTGATATTCGATCGTTTCAGATCATTTTTTTCCTTTCTCTCTCTCTCTCTGTGTTCAATGTAGCTTGACATCGATGGCATATAGTGTTTGAAACTGAATAATGATTAGATGGAATGGCAAATAAGGCAGAAAAAAAACCGTTGGAAATATTTCAATTAAAATAATTGTCTCAAACCATTCAATACATAAAACGGTAATAACGATTCGAAAATATATTTTTTTTCACTTTTCGAATCTATTGCAAATTATCAATGATGAAAATAACGAAACAAATTCTACTAAAATTAGAACGAATACAGAACATGTTGACAGTGCACATGTATTATTGACAAATTGTACAATATATTCAATATAATGAAAAAATAGGAAATGGATCAGCAAAACTGGCGGCTATAGGGTTGGTAAAGCCAAAAAAAAAAAATTTTTTGTATGCGTGCGTTCATTCGAATAAAGCATTTAAATTGTGTATATCATGCGTTCATCATGTAGTAGGCATGTTTATTGTTGGTATATGAAACATTTACCCGGCAAACTCAACTGCAGACCTATTGAAAGTAATATAAACACTTTGGATCGTTTGAACTGGTTGTCAGTTGAAAAAAGTCAGCCACTAGATTCAGATCGAAAAAATTGAATTTTTTTTTTTGTACAAAATTCTAATGCGTATGTGCGCGTTTGTGTGTTTATTTATGTGTTTGTCTTGGCAATTTTTTTAGAATTGGCGGCAAAATTAATAATTAAAATAACAAAAAAAAAAATTCTGAATGATCATTCACATAATAATGATGTTGAAATATATAATTCCATCATCTGTATCCATATCATCATCATCATCATCATTATTACAAATGTTTAGAACGTTTCAATTAATTCTAATCATTTGTTGTATCATTCCATTAATTTCATCATCATCATCATCATCATTATCAACATTAGATCATTCACAAAAACATTATCACAATAATCATCATCACATTAATGAACACAAACTGCATCATCATCGACAAACTGATGATTATTCGACAAATATCGTTAGCCATGGTCATTCAATTCGATATTATGATGATGAAGATGATGATAATAATAATAATAAAATCTATAAACGAATACGTAAACATTCACGTTCATCGTTGATTGACGATGATTCAACATCATTACCAATAAGTGGTGATGATCATGAATCAAACATACCAGTTTCGGATATTAGTGTGCAACCAGAATTATCATCATCGATAATCGATTTTAATTATATAACTAATGGTGAAAATAATAATATTACCGATCATTTGTCAACAATCGATGGTGAAGGTATGTGATGAATTTTTTCTTGTTTTTTTTTTTTTTTGGTTATAGTACGACAAACAATGTGGATATATTAATATTATTAAATTAATTTTAAACATCATACAGAACAAACAAAAATGCCAGGTGAACATATTTATCATTTTATTTATGGAATTTTTATTGTCTTTGCAAATATGTTGAATGGATTGAGGCAACAACAGAAAAAAATGAGAATCGCAATAGAATTCCGTGAAATAATCACTGGAATTCTTTTCAGATTTTTTTTCTTCGCTTCGAGCATCTGTCTTTTGTTTTCTCAATATAACTCGATCATTTTTCCATGATTGAAATTGAATGAAAATTAAATTCATGTGTTCATGATCATGTTTTCCTTTGGGCGATTTTTTTTCTTCGCTTGCCATTATTTCATAATTTATTCTGTCTGTTGATATACATATCATTCATTCATTCATTCATTCATCAGTTATGTGACCAATTATTCTGCCTTTTTTTCCAAATATTAACACTTGTTTTTTTTCCTTCAACCATCAACAACCATTGATTCTTTATGGTCGTCTCTTTTTTTATTTGGATACAAAATTTCAATGTTTCCAAAACAGTGAATGTATCAATTACGATGTACAGAGAGAGAGAGAGAGAAAAAAAAATTCAATAAGATTTTTTTCAATAAGTGCAAAAAAAAAGTTGAAACTAGAAATAAAATAAAAAATTTGCAATTCAAATCCGTAACAAAACAGAATAAAAAAAATGCCAAACACAGTACTTTTTTTTTTTTTTTCGTATAAATAATCACGGGTGAAAACCAAAAATGGAGAAATGAAAAAAAAAATTCTACTAAAGTTGAATGAATCTTGAAATTCTAAAGAAAAAAAAACTACAGTGGTATTATTTTTTCTTTGTAGAATATCATGCTTGTTTGATATATACAATATTAAAATAATGATGATGATGATGATGATGATTTGAATATGGTTTCTTCCCCCCGCACGATTTTTTTTTCTTCTTTCAAAACATAAAGTATCAAAGCAGCGGAAAAAAACTTTGTTGTCATTTGAACAAGTGACAATGATGATGATGATGTTGGTGCCCGATAGTTTTCGATCATTTGTTGAACAAATTTTTCATTGTCGTCAGAATTCTTATCATTCGGCAATGGGGGGAGGGTTGTGAAAAAAGTCTATTCAAATCCCTAAAACAAACAAAATCATTCACTTCTTTTTGTTTCTACAAACAAACGAATATTTGCATGAATTCTTTTGGTTCTCGCCTCTTTTTTTTACTGCGAAAAAAAGATCAGAAATCATAGAAAAAAATACCGAAGAAAAAGTTTTCGTAATGCATTATTTGATGCCCAGAAAAAGGAATAACCGTCTTTTTTCCAATAATCATTATAAAATTGATTTCTGCAATATTAACGGTAAAACAAAACAAAAAAAACAGAAAAACTCAACAACAGGATTGATTGAAAAATGTATTGAATTTTTCAGGAAAAACAAAATCATAATTCAAAATTTAAAGTTATTTTTTTTTTTTGCTAGAATCAAACAAAATAACCAGAATTGGCAAACATACTTTTTCAGATATATTTTTCATTTAATTTTCAAATTTTTTTCCGTTTTACGTTTTGTTAACAGTGAACGATTTATTTTATGAAAATGGATTTTTGTCATCATCATCACCATCACCGTTGCAACATTGTGCTGCTGTTGTTTGTCGTCGATTTTTGTTTTTCGTTTTTTTTTTTTTTTGATACTTTAAAGTTTGTACAAAATCTTTCAGTCAAATCTAGCTTTCTGATGATGGTGACATATATAAACGGTTTTTTTTTCTCTTCAATAATGATATTACTAACATTGGTTATACACCATCATTATCACACACACACACACACACACAAACACAGAAACACAGAATAATTTTCATTTTCAACACAGAATTTCAAATGGTATTCGCTAATTTGTTTTATTCTCTTTACCACTTTCACTGATATTCACATTTATTCATCGGCATTTAGCTTTTGATGGTGATGGTGAAAAAGCAACACTAGCAGCTTGAACAAGAAATGTTGTTTGCATCCATGAAACAAAAAAGTCCATTTTGAAAGTCATTAATGAAATAATATACAACAATGGTGACATTGATATGGACAGGAAAAAAAACCATTTTTTTTCTCTCACTCAACGCTTCATCTATAAAATGAATATGAAAATGTGAAAGGTAGACGATAAAAGTATCCAAAAATAAATCCATTTATGAGAGAGAGTGAGAGAGAGAGAGAGAGAAAATGAACAAAAGCAGAATCCATGATGGAACCAATTAGTTGTTGACATTGTGACATTGTTTCGACAATGGTAATGTGTATGTGTGTGTGTGTGTGTTGTTTAATGTGTTTTTGTTTATCACTATCCAGTGGTTTTATTTTACTTGTTAAATGTCATTTTATATATTTATATTTATATTACACTGATGACAAGATTTTATCCATTTTTTTCCTCACATCTATTGTTTAATGAAAAAATTCTTTTCAATGTTAAAATCACAGTTTTTATTTTCCATTCAATGAAACATGGTATGGTGTTTGGAAAAAAAAACCATCATTAATTTTTCCTCATCATCAATTTTCATAGTCATCATCATCATCATGATCATTATTGAATTGAATTTTTTTTTTGTTCGCCACAATTGTTAAAATACCGTTTTGAAATCATTTTTTTTTTTTTTTTTGATTCAAGAATCGACATAATAATGCCGTTCCATTTATTGATGATTCAAGTTTCACACTTCATTCACTTTATCATCAATTTATAGGCAATATATTTAGACTTATTTATTCACTTACGCCCATAAAAAAATAGAATTTTTTTTTCGTATACAATTGAAACAATTTACGAATCGAAAAATGAAGCTTAACAAAAAAAACAACAACAACCAGAATCGATGAAAGTATTTCAAATCTCTTAGTCAAATAACGTTTTTTTTTTTTTTGGTTTGATGATTGAAAATAATTTGATTTTTATTGCCATTACCATCTCATCATCATACGCCTTGTATAGATATTATTGTTGTTATTGTTGTTGTTATGATGATGGAACCTGATTCATGAATCATAGTAGAATTTTATTGCATTTTGATATATAATGGTTCGTTTGCAATTCTTAACTTAGTTTTTATCAATTTTTTTATTGCCCATCATCATCATTCCAGTCTAAATATAGGAATAGAAGAAAAAAGAAAGAAATTTTCATTGCACAATGATGATGATGATGATGATGGCCAAGAAGAATTTAACAATGGCCACGAAGGTTGGTAGTTTTGAATTTGAGAATATCATAAAAAAAATAAATTTTCAACACAAAAAATTTCAAATTCAATTTCATTTTTTTATTCATTCCTTGCTGCTAAGATTTTTGATTTTGTTTTTTTTTGTTCCATTCGTTTTTCATCTTACCATCATCATCATAATCGGGATTCGTTTCGAATGCAAAAAAAAAAATTGCCTCTTGGGAAATGTTTCTTTACTCTCAAATGACTAGGTATTGTTGTCCGATGTTTTTTTTCTGATATCCACATTGATTGACTATCGACTACGTATATATATTGTCCGGATTCGAATTTTCATTTTTTCAATACCAAAAAAAAAAAAAAAATTGCTCATCATTTTTTTCTGAACAAGCAAAGAAAAAAAATCCCAATCCAAAGGTGAATGAAAAATTCAATTGAATCATTAATGTTCTAAAAATAGGAAAAAGCAAAAAAAAAAGATTTCTACTCTCTTGAGAACATTTTGATTGGTTTGTTTTTTGGCCTTTTTTTCCACTAGCTGTTTCACGTGGAATGCACCTTTTTTCTCTGAAAAAAATGTACATCACATTGGATTTAAGATTTTTGATGGTCAAAATTTCTCAAAAGATTAAATTCCGCTTATCGAATCCATCTATATCAACATTGATAGAGAATAACATTTGTTTTTTTTATTGTATAACAAACAACAAGAATTCTTTTTGAAGAATTTAATCGATTTGTATTTGCATTTGTTTTTTTTATTGTATAACAAACAACAAGAATTCTTTCGAAGAAAATCATTCTCACTAGAATTGACTTTGATTACAATGAACACGAAACATTTGTTACTAATAGTTATTTTTTTTCTGCTTCATTTTCATCATTCCACATCATCATGTGGACCATTATTTGTGGTAATGTTTTTTTTTCTTCTTTCAATTCTTTTTTTTTTTTGCAATCATATACCACAAATACCGGAAAAATGTTCATCGAGTTAAATGGTCATTTAACCAGGAAAAAAAATTGCCAGTAACTATGACAATCATACTATGATACGTAGCCGGTCAGTAGTTTCACTCTCTAGATTCAACTCGATTATTATTGAATCCTCTTGTTTTTGTTCATGGCCAATATAATAATTCATGGCCTTGTTCCCGTGGGCAACTATTAGCTTCTTTTTTACCTATAAAAAATTTTTTTTTTCTGTCACATTCTCAATGCTTGTTGATGATGTTTTTTTTCTATGATATGTGAGGCTAGAATAATTTTCACCAGAATCCATTGCTCTCATCATGTTTCTTCATTCCGAATTCTGTGGAATTTGTTCCATTTTTTATTTTTTTTTTCACAAAATTCATGTCGTTTATTATGAAAAATATGGACAACAAATGACTCACATATATATATATGAGAGGCAATAGATCATTTATTCCAACTTGAATCAGTCGACAATGATGAAACGAACCATACATCATATATAATAACATCGATGACAACAAAAAAAAATCGAGACATTTGTATTGAAAATAAGAATACCTGGCCATAATAATATTATTAATGGACAGAATATTCTACTTTTGCGCTTGTGTGTGTGTGTTGAAGATGATAGTGAAAGGGAAAAAATGAATAGTGGAATTTTTTTGTTGTTGTTGTTGTTGAACAACAAAAATAGAATCAAGTGGCTTATTGAAGTTTTTTTTCAGCCTGGTTGATCAGATGATTTTTAGAGAATTTCATATACAAAGTTTTTTTCTTCTCAAACAAAACAAAATTATATCCAAATGATGATGATGATGATGGTGTTGATGAAGATAAATTGTTGTTGGTAACTATAGAATTTCAATCTTTTTCATTTTTTCATTTTTTCATTTTTTTTTTTTTTTTGGTTGTAATGGACGCATTTCGTTTGTTTGTTTGTTGATGATGAACGATGATGACAAAAATTTTTGTCATAGCAATTTTTTTTTTTACAAAAATACATAGTTGCATGAAAAAAAGGGGCTATGAGTAAGAGAAAAAACTCTGGAATTTTGGATTCTGGTTGTTGTACAGTGTACATATCGTATGTATAGCCTCTGGGTTCATAAATGAATGTGTGTGTGTGTGTGTGCGTTTTTGTTTGTTCTCATTTTGTAATGAGCGAGAAAAAAAATTTCACTATGGTTGTCCGGTTTTTATCTGCATTTATTCATTAATTCATTTTCATTCATGCCTCACACAAAAACATCCTGTTTGTGTGTCCAGTGACCGGATTTCCGTTTTAACCAACGAAAAAAAAAAATAAAAATACTTTTTCTGCCATCGGGTACATTTTTTTTTTTTTTTTTTTTCATAATTTTTTTTCCCTTGATTTTCTAGATAATTCTCAAGAATTTTTTCTCAGGAAAACCACAAAAATATTATTTGCTTCGATTATTTCTTTGAATAGTTTCACTACTGATGATGATATTTTTGTCAAAAAAAAAAAGTTTTCAATTCAAGTATCATTACATTGAATTGTTGTTCATACAAAATTTTTTTTTCTACCATCATCAAACGAAAATATTCAATGACAAAATTTGTACCATGAAAAATTCTTGTCATTTTGTCATACCATAATATTAACGTATTTTTGATCGATGATCATTTCAACAAATTTCATAAACTTGTTACCAGAAAAAAAATCATCATCATACTACATTCTGACCTTTTTATTCAGACATGTCAAATCATTTTTTTTTCTCACTTCTATTACGAGAAAAAAAAATGTTTTGTCACACACACAAACATTGATTTAGATATGTTTCAGAATTTTTTTTTCTTCGTTTCTTATAACAACTTCGTGGTTGTCATCGCGTTTGTCATTGATTTATGATGACATAAACATTGAATGTTACAATACAGAATTATTTTTTTTCTGTCTAGAATGATGGCCAAAAAAAAAGTGAAAATCAAATCGGTCCACAACTAAACCGAAGACAATATATCTGACAAACTTGTTTTTTTTTTTTGATTGGATTGGACACATGCATATGATGATGGAAAAAAATTCGTTCCCATTGAAATTAGTTATTTTTGATGGATTTTTTTTCATTATTTATAGAGTCGATAAAGCTTTGGATAAAATCGATTCTATCATATGAATATATCGATTCTCTGTTTCCGCAGATTTTCATATTGAATTTTTTTCTTTTTTTTTCTCTCTATTTGACGTACAAAATATAAATTCACGTTGGCAATAGGTAAAGCTTTGCCAAATTTTTTTTTCTTCAGTTCCGCGATGGGCTCTATTTTTTTTTTCGGTCCGTTGGTTTTGCATGAATTGATTGATCGTTCACGTTGATCTAAACATCGATCAGAATTGTTCGTGTCACTTTGTGTGTGTGTGCGTGTGTGTGTGTGTGGATTCAAAGTGATTACATAGCTTTAATCATGAAAAATAAGTTAATTCCTGTGAAATTTAGTTTCTCTCCAATTACATGATTGCTGGTTGACTAGGCAAAAAATTTAAGATGAATATTACGATCAACATTACGGAAGAGAAGTGTATATTCAATATTAATGTATCTAGGTCTTCTTTTCCATTTCTTCTGCTGGTTTTTTTCTATTCTGGATTTTGTTTTCACTATTTTTTTTTCATTATTCATAGATGATACATCGATAACATATGATGATCGTCTATGTCCAAGAGATCGTGAAGAAGCTAAAGCACGTGGCCAATCATGTTTACGTAAATGTAATTCACATAAAGATTGTATATCATCAAAACGTCGTTGCCTTTGTGATGGTCTTTGTGGTTGGAGCTGTATAAGACCCGGTATGTAATTGGCCAATTCTATGCTTGTTGTTTTGTTCCAGAATATTTTCACAATTCCCAAATTTTTTTTTTGCATGATGTCATTTTTTTTCTTTCTTTCTTGAATCCATTTTTTTCGTTGTTCGAAACGAAAGGTTTTTTTCCAGATTGTTTTGTACTCCTGAATCAATTCAGTTTTTTTCCCTATACCTTTTGCGCATTTGTTCCTGTCTGAACATCTGAGTCTGAATTAAATTCAATTTGAAATTCAATTCAATTTTTTATGCTTATTTTTTTTTCATTTTCCTATTTCACGCCATCGGGTTTGGATACGGTGCCCATTTTTTTTCCTCTTTACCACTGCTGAATTATATTTGGATCGCAACAACAACAACAACAACAAAAATTCCTTCAACTGATGATGTAATTCAATTCAGATTTAAATTGTGAAGAATTACCAGGCGTCGCTAACAGCCGTTACACATTAACGAATGAAAATTTTTTCCATTCAAAATTGATTTACGAATGTGACCCCGGTTTTATTATGTCCGGCACTGGACGTGAACGTATTTGTCAAGGTGATGGTTCCTGGAGTGGTTGGCCACCACAATGTAAAACTAGACGTATGTATTCATTTTTTTTTCCTGTGGAATTTTCTTTCCTATACTAAGGAATTTTTCATTTTTTTCCAATAATGATGATAACAAAATTTTCTTGCCATTTGCTTCTACATTCAAATTGATTCTCTCATGAATTAATCATTTTTTTTCGATTCTTTTTTTTGATTCCATCCACCGCCGTTGCCATTATCATCATCATCATCATTGATAAATTTGTCTTTACTGGCCTATTCAATTCATTTACTTTCGACAACAAACAATAATTTTCTCTTCTCTTCTCTTCTCTCGACAGCTGTTTGTGGAACACCACCATTCATACCACATTCAAAACATTCAGATTTAGTTGGCACCGAATTTGAGCTAAATAAAACCGTTATATATGAATGTTTCAATGGTTATGAACCAAATGGTTCAACTGAAGCATTATGTGTCCATCGTAATGATACAGTATTTTGGTCGATCGATTTAATTTGTGTTCGTATGTATTTATTCATCATCATCATCATCATCATTTCATTATTATTATTATTATCATGATCATGATTATTATAAATTCTGCATGAAATTTTGTCTATTCCTATTCTGATGCACATTATTATCAAAAAAAAAAAAAAAATTTTCATTTTCTACTCATTTTATTCAATTTTTTTTTATGATCATAAAATTGAATTACAATGCAATTCGAGAATTGAAATTGAATTTTTTTTTTTTTTGAAAATGAACTCGACTGTAGAATACAATTGAAAATTTAATTTTTTTTTTTTTTTGCCAATGATAATGTTCATTTGTTCATTATACAATGTAAAATTGCCTTTTCTTCTTCTTTATTTGGCTTTTTCACCATTATTCTGTATTATTTTTTTTCTACTACTATTTTTGTCAGGTAAAAATTGTGGTGATCCAGGTAATATTGAAAATGGTTATAGAAAAATATCTGGCTATGTATTCACATCGAGTGTTAATTATTTTTGCAATGATGGCTACATATTGGCTGGACGTGCATTACATTATTGCCAATCCGATGGACATTGGGGCGGAGAATTACCTGTATGTAAACGTAAGTTTCAGTCAATGATCATAACAATTTTTTTTTTATTGATAGTGATTCAGGAAAATCAAATTCGTTAGAAATTAGTTGAATACAAAATTCAAAAAGAAATTTCATTTTCTGCCCACAAATTCTTGGAAATTACTTGTGATTAGTTTTGATTTATAACAAGATAGTTTACTAATAAAAACTTTTTGTATTTTTTTTCTTTTTTTTTTTGTGTTGTTGTTGTCGTACAAATCATGTGCTGTGGTTTAACTTTTTCTTTCAAAAACAACAACAACAACAACAACAGCTGTTAAATGTAGCCAACCAAAAGATCCACAAAATGGTCGAGCTTTCTATGACAATTATACTTATGGTTCAATAGTTAAATATCAATGTAAAAGTAATTTTAAACTACATGGACCACAGAATCGTACTTGTCAATCGAATCGTGAATGGTCGGGTGATGAACCTGAATGTAAAAGTTTGTGAAAAATTGAAAATACAACAATTTTTAAAAACCAAAAACGATTGATTTATTTGATTTGGCTCTTTCTTTCAATATATATAGTAATTGATTGTGGCCAACCGGATCCATTTCCAAATGGTTACATTGAAATACAATCAACAACAATTGGTTCGACAATTTATTTCTATTGTTTTGATGGCATGATTTTCGATGGTCAATATACAAATAGTACTTGTACAATAAACGGTACATGGAATCCATATCCATTTCCCAAATGTTTGGGTAAGTAGTTCCTTTTTTTTCCTATCCATTTTCAATTGTTTTCTGTTACCCCTTTTTTATCCGTTGTTGTTGTTGTTGTTTTTTCGGATTATTATTCTTGTCGTCATTGGCTTTATTGTTGCTGTTGTTGTTGTTGGTTCCGGGAATATAGAATTGCAAATCATTATTTGTATGACGGAACACAAGAAATAAAAAATAGAAAAAGAAAAACGCAAGCTTGGCGCAAACAAAAAAAAAAATTGGATTTTTTTTCCCATTTGCGGTTTATAAAATAATGATGTTTCAATTACCATCACCATCACCACCGAAGTGATCATTAATATCGTTTTTTTTCATTCTTTTTCTTTTTTTTTCTCTTTTGTATTTGTTTTCATTGTTTGGTGCATTTCCAAAATACACATACCATATTGGTCATTTTGGATAATTTCTTTGGAATACTTCATATTCCATAATAATATAGCACCATGTTCGATACCGCAAATTATCAATGGTATGGTTGAAAATCTACCACCACGTACAAAGATTCAACATGGCCAACCAATAAACGTGACATGCATAACAAATTATGATCTAGCATATCAATCTAATCCAATTGTTTGCTATAATGGTAGCTGGTCACAATCACCGACCTGTGTGCCAGGTTTGTTTAGTATTTTTTTTATTCAACTTCATTGTGTTAAAATTGAAATAATAATTTTTTCTAGCACGATGTAAAAAATTGCCAACACGACCAAACAATGGTTTTGTTGTTGCACCAAAAACTGAACATGGTATGCGTGCCCTTTTCATATGCAATGATGGCTATATATTGGAAGGACCAAATATTACATATTGCCATTTTGGTGTTTGGAATATTTCATCGCCAACCTGTAATCCAAGTAAACGAATAAAATATTTTTTTAAAAAATTGATGTTAATTTCTATATAATATTCAAACATAAATCATTTATGATAATGATGACTATCATATCAGATTGTAATAATAATTTATTATATTTCCTTGTTTATTTATGGTGTAGTTTATTGCCAATTTCCTGGCTATATTGAAAATGGAAAAGTAATGCTTGTTGGCCATATGGGAATGTATGATTATCCACCATATGTTAAACATGTAACCAATAATAAACAAATAATATTTGAATGTGATCGTGGATATCATATTGTTGATGGACCACCGGGTGCCACTTGTGTGGATGGCCAATGGTCACCATCTAAATTACCAAGATGTGAAATTTATTCACATCCAAAATTATTACGATGGAATCGTTCAGTGAAAACATTGATGCGATATAATGAAGAATTGGATACAAATGAACGTTTTGAACAACAACAGGAATCAACGATTGTCAAATCAACATCATCACAACAACAACGGAGACGAAAACGTCATCATTCTAAACGTAAGAATATGTAATTTCAATCAGCTAAAACTCAATCATAATGATGAATTTTTATTTTAATTTCATAGCTTCTTGTGCACGATTACCGGAAAAAAATTGGATGACAATTTCAATTGTACGCCTTGGAAATGGTAATAATACATATCCACATGGTACACGTATACGTATAGCCTGTGATGATGGTTATGTAACGACGAATCCAAATCGTACTTTGATTAAATGTGCAAAAGGCCGATGGAAACCAGAATTACCGGATTGTATACCAGCTCCATGCATAACACCGACAGTGCCAAATGCACGTTTTCATCTTCATCGTCGGCTTTTACAACCAGGTGAATTGGTTAAACATGAAAATCGTATTGAATTTATTTGTGAAGATGGCTATCATGAACCAATACCATTAACTAATGTAACATTACGTTGTTCATATGGTTCATGGGATTCATTTTCATCCAGTCAGATTTGTGTACCAAAACCATGTCGGCTACAACGACGTCATCTACCAAATGGTTATTATCTTGATCTTACATTCGATACAGATGGAACATTTATCGAACATGATAGTGCAGTATTATTTGAATGTTTACCTGGTTTTAAATCGAATAAAACCGGTGAATATCGATGTTCATTTGGAAAAATTGATCCAGAATTACCGCAATGTGTGCCAGAAAATTCCAATAATATTGATCATTCAACACCGTCTCCACAATTTTATAATGATGGTTCCATATCGAATCGATGTCGGTCACCGGAAAAGATTGAAAATGCACTAATTTATTTTGATCAATTACTTAGCCAACGTTTAACATTGATTGGTGTTGCACAAGTAGATCATTTAATGTCTACATATGATGATTTTAATTTGACAAATGGCCGGAACTTGGACTATCGTTATGTTCAACAATCACCATTACCGTTTGAATATGATCATGGAACAGAAATTGTATTCCGTTGTGTAACGTATGCTTCTAAAATGGCCACCAAACCAATTAATAATGATGATGAATCGGTTACGGCTAACCAAACAACATCGACACGTAGTACATGGATTATTCGATGTGAAAACGGTAACTGGATTGGACGATCATTTGAATGTGAAAATGATTTCATAGAAATGGAACCTGAAGAGAAAGAAGAACTAATGATGTTGAAAGAATCAAATGATTTGAATCTATTCCATGGATTTAGTGGAAATGGTTCATGTATGGCTTATACAAATGATTCGAATATTCGAATGTATAATGGTGAACAGATCATTTTGAATGGAACATTCGTCGTACATGGAACGGCAATTAAAATAAGTTGTTCAGATATTGGCCGTTATCAATTGATTGGATCAAAAGATCGTATCTGTCATAATGGTATCTGGTCACGTAGTGATCCATATTGTGCCGGCCTTTCACAGGAATATGATTATTCTTGTAAGTTTTTTTCTTTGTTAATAAATTGAATCAAGAATGAGAAAAATCTGAAATTTTTTTCCTCTTCATTTTCAGTGGATAAATCACCAACAATATTATTTCGTAATCAACTTGGACCAATAGCTCAATCATATCAAGGAAAATTGATTGTTTATCCTGGAACAATTTTACATCTGGATTGTTTATGGAAACGTAAATATGGTACACCACAATGGTCATGGAAATTGGCACAACGTCAATATCTTCAATGTGAGAATTGTTTCTTTGTCCAGTATTACAATGGTTGATTGTTCTTTTTTTTTGAAAATCAAATAAATAAAGATTGGACAACGGACTCTTCGTTAGAATATCGGTTGACCATATTTCATGCACAGGAAAGTGATTCCGGCCTATATACATGTCAAACTCCTAATCTACATATACATACGGTTGAGATTAAAGTTCGAGGTATGTGGAAAAAAAATCGATCAATCATTATCAATCTTTAAATCTACATTTATTTTTTCATGTAAAAAATATATAGCGATCCATTGTCCTAATTTAAATCTAACAACAACAACAACAACAACAACAATGGCCAATAATGTTGATTATATGGATGATAGTAATGATGCAAATTCAACAAATCCAACAACAACATCAATACCGACAATGTCAACATCGTTATTACGTATAGCTGAAACAATAACTAATGGAGAGAATAATAATAAAATGGGTACAATCATCCATTTTGAATGTACACTTGGTACGATTTTGGTTGGCCAACATTCAATACAATGTCTACCAAATGGACAATGGTCAGATTCCATTCCCACTTGTAATGGTTAGTTGGTAATGTTGTTCATAATTTTTTTTTAAAAAATTCTTTCTTTTTCATTAAATTAAAACAAGTTACACAATGTTATGATCTAACATCGAATTTGACAACCATTGTACAGAGGCAAAGGAATCAATCTGATGATGATGTAGAATCACAAACATTGCAAAGAAATTCACCAAGAATTGAATCAGCACAAATTGTCGAAATAAATCGTACGATTGGATCAAAAGTTATATTCACATGTCCACGTGGTTATGGCCTAAAAGGTAGTAATCATGAATTAGAATGTTTACCATCTGGTCATTGGTCTGGATCGATTCCATATTGTCAAGGTATATTGTTGATCAATTTTTTTTTTTTGATAGATGAAATTTTGAATTTCAATCTTTATATCTCAAATAGAAGTTCGTTGTGGTGATCCGATGATACCAAAAAATGGTTACATTGAAGGCATTTCAATGGATCAACAAATGAATGTATATTTTGCTGGTGATATTGTCCAATATGCATGTAATGATGGATACATGATCGATGGGAATCCAATATCGATTTGTCAAGAAAATGGACGTTGGTCAGGGCCGATTACAAAATGTATGTGATAATTTGTATCAAAAAAAAAAGAAAATTTAATTTCATTTTCAATTGTCCACAAAAAAAGGTAAACCTTCCTGTAATTATCCTGGTCTAATGCATGGTTCAAGATTAGTTTCGGAAGTAAAATTTTTCTACGAAGTCAATGAGACTATAAATTTTGAATGCTATGAAGGTACACGAGTGAAAGGAAATCGTTCCATTAAATGTATATCTAGTGGCCGTTGGAGTGGTCCAATACCGGAATGTATTCCTATCAATATGAATTTAGATCAAAATGATGATAATATTGATATCTATCATTAATCAAAAAAATGGATGATGAAGAAACAAAAAAAAACAGCAAATAACGCAATCATTTGAATCGATTTGTCGTGCCTTCACCAATCACCATCAATTATCATCAACATCATAATCATAATCATCATCATTATCATTATGATTGATTCAGATACAATTACCATTTATATGGAAATCAATTTGTACAAACAAACAAACAAACAAAAAATTTTTCTTGATTTAATAAAAAAAAAATTATACCACAAAGTTTTTTAAATCTCACCCAATAGATGGCGTCTGTATCGATTGGTTTGAGTACAACCAAAACACTTGAAATCAATCAAGAATCATCATCAAAGGATTCTTGAAGAGAAAAACAAAAATGATGACGAATAAAATCATTCGCGTCATCATAGATTATGGTATAAGAAAAGAAAAATTCTCGAAGATTCCAGTTTGAAGAAATTGTATTCAGAAAATAGTTTTTTCACCCCAAACATCATTATTCAAGTGCATTAATCATCATTTTTATTTATTTACAACAACAACAACAACAACAATGACAAAACAACAACCAAAAAACACAATTTGTTGTTTGCAGTAGTAAAAGTTGTTGTTGTTGTTGTTTGGACCATCAAATCATTATCATCATCATCATCATCAAATCATCATCGAATGATTCCATAAGGATGGATTGAAATAAACAAAAAAAAATTTTTTTTTTTTTTGGTTTCTATTCTCCATCATACACTCCAATTAAATGTTGATGAGGATTTTTTTTTCTAAGAAAATTGATATGGTCGTTAATTGTTTGTCGTTTTTTTCTTTTAATATTCATTTAGACGTTATACTCATCCGTCTATCATCGTTATCTCTGTTTTTTTAAAATAGGATTTTTCAACGATAATAATTATGAACAACAACAACAACAACAACAAAAAATGAAAATACAATGTTGTTCCGGGAACGATGCCATTTTCTATAGAAGAAAGAAAAAAAAATCCTGACAAAGAATAATTCAAGGTTGACCAATCAATTTTTTTTTGTACAGAATTATAATTAATTATGATGAATTTATTATTAGGAATTTTGTTCAAATGTTGATTGGATTTACATTGCTTAACATGGAATGATGATGATGATGATGATGATGAATTGGCTGATAAAAATAGTACCAATTATATAAAATTCAGATTCAGAAATGTCAAAATCATTTCATCAATTTCATTTCCATTTTCATCATGTACGTGTTATTTTATTAACAACAACAACAAAAAAAATCAAAAAATGGACAAAAAAAAATGTCAACCTATAATGAAATTGAAAAATTATGAGGCAAACAAACAAAACAAAACAAAACAAAAAAAATACCCATTTCCAGTTGAAAAAGGCGATTTTTTTTTTTACTTTTTAATGTCTTTTGGTTTCCTTCCTTTTCAGTTCATCGTGTGTTTGTGTGTTTGCAAAGACATTTACTTTTTTTCCACTTTGTTTTTTTTTCTTTTGGTCATAAATTTTTTTTTTTTTTTTTGCTTTCGTCATATATCGAATTATTATTATATACATCGTTTCGAAGATGATGATGATATGAAGGTAAGTAGTAGTTGGTTATGTTAGAAATTCTGGTATAAACTAGTTATTTTGATTTAGGGTCGGATGTTTCTCTCTGTCTCTGTGTTTGTTGTTGAAATAAAAATCCTTAGCCTTTTATTTTTTTTTCTCGGGGTCTTGTTCATTTTATTCATATATAAATATGTTTTAGATATGACCAAAGAAGATAAAAAAAAATACGAATTATCCAGACAATAAGATAAACAAATCTTAACAGACCACATGGGTGTATCGGTGTGTGTGTATGCTGTTGTTGTTGTTGTGTCAACCATCATCGTCAAGGTCAAATGACGACTCTTTGGTTCCAATAAAATTAAAAAATAAAAACATCTGTCTTTCAAGGACAATCGGATGCTAGTATTTTGCTACATAATTTCGAGTTTGCGTTCATTTTGTAATTTGAATCAAGAATTCAAAACATTCGAAAAAAAAATTCGTCATGCGTAATTTAGATGTAGGAATCGGATTTGTTTTGATTTTTTATTCTGGGTCAGAATAAACACACAAACACAAACACATGTTAAATTGTTTACACATTACAAAGAATTTGGCTTTCACTTTCAATGTATAAATCGGTCACAATTTCTTATGCAATTGTTTTAAACATACAAGTACCTCCCATTGTAACAACTTTCACTGTGAATTCCTCACCCTTAAAAATGATGAGGGTGAGGAATTTAACTTTAATGCAATGTGAAAAACAATTTCTGATACCACTACCATTGTTGAATGTATCGGTATTTTTTTTTTTTGTTTTTCTCCATGACCAAGTTCTAAATCTGGGTCCGTTTAGGATTCAAAGAGTTATTATAATCATTAATATTCATCATCATCATCATCATCCAAATCAACCTGGTTGTTTTTTTTTTTTTTTTTTTTTGGTAAAATTTCATCCAGCAAATTATTAATCAATCTTTTTTTTTAATTTTATCTCGAATAAATTTTCCATTTGCTTCATCACCAACATTACAATGCACCTCTACTTTCAAAAAATGATATCACAATTCTTATCATTCAAAAACGTTTACCACTTCTTTTTTGTTGTTGTTGTTGTTGTTGTTGTGTCTATTGATTGTTGTGAATCGATCCGTGTGTGTGTGTGTTTTTTTTGTACAACAACACACACAATAATAACAAACCAACCACACTATCATACACAGCAACAACATATCTCCAAACTCCAAGCAAAAAAAAAAAAAAAAAAAATTGAAATGAGATGAAACTGCCCCTCCTCAAAAATATAACTTTCTCTTTTCAAATTACAATACTTCCAATGTGTGTATGTGTGTATCTCTCTCTCTTTTTTCTTTGCCATTACTTTCTTACTCTCTCTCTCTCACACGCATGTTTAGCAAAACGAATGAAGATTTTTTTTTTTTTTTTTGTTGGCTTTCGCCGTCGCCGTCTTCATCTTCTTTTTCTTCTTCTCTTCCATATGAATTGACCTCGACCGACATAAGGACATTATAATAATCACACAAACAAATCAAATCATAATAACAACAACAACAACAAAAAAAAATCAACAAACGAACAACCAAGATTATTATATTTGATGAAATCCAGTAATAAAATAATGAAAAACCAGAAAAAATTTTCATTAGATAATCATCATCGATCGATCATATATATAATTTTTATCTGTTTTGTTTTGCATGTTTTTTTTGATGGTGTTTTGGTGACAGTGCTGGTGGTAAACAACGTCGTCGACAACAACAACAACAACAAAAAAAAATCTAGAAAAATTTTAGAATCCAGTACGCGTAACCTGTGTCCATGTCCATGTGTGTTCACAAAGTGTATCATCTTTGGTGTTCAAGAATGTCTTGAATCTTTGTGTGTGTGTGTGTGTTGTGTTTGAATGTTGAAAATCATTATTCAATCAATATTTGAGAATTTTATTCTAGTTTTTTTTTGTTTCATCAATTCAATGTATCATCAGTGTGATTAAAAATTTTTTCTTTTGTTTTCAAAATCAAAATCACAACCGCTTGTCAATGTTTTATGTTTGAATTTAATTTCATCAATTTTTAGTGGTTAATTCATAAATGAATGAATTTTATAAATTTTACCTGTAAATGGATTTTTGGATCAATTTATTAAAAATTTTGAATGAAAATCATATCCTTGAAATACAAACATACATATTATCATATCATATCATCATTATTATAGACAAAATTCGACCGACTTATTGAATTATATATTGAAAAATGATATAATCCAGAAAACAACGAAAAATAAAAATTCATTTACACACGTAAGAGACACAAAAAACACACTAGCAACACACACACACACACATAACATCAATATAAAATATATATACGAATCCACCCGTTTTTTTCTCTTTTTGGCCCAAACAAATTTTGCTCTTTTTCTCTTTTATTGTGTGACACAATCCTCCCAAAATTATTACACACAACATTGTACTCGGTTTACACTTGAACTTGAAATAATTTTTTTTTCGTCTCTTTTTTTGTTGAAACAAAAAAAAAAAACATGAATGTCAATTTTACTTTTGGATTTTTTCTTTTCTTCTTCTTCTTCTTCTACTTTCACTGATTCGAGGACAAATCGACATTGACTGATATATATTGGTTGAACATCGTTTATTCGTTTTTTTTTGGAACAACAGGTCAGCCATCATCATCATCATCATCGTCATCATCATCATCAACAACCGTAGAAATTTTGCCATTTCATCAATTGTGTATGTGTGTGTGGGATTTCGGTCCTCGTGTATTTCCAGTGTGTGTGTGTGTCTATTATGCGTGTTTATATTTATATGTTATAAAAAAAAGTGTTGTGCAACATCTATTGCAACGAAGTAAAAAAAAAGCTTTTTTTTGCCATGTCATGATCATGGCCATGGCCGTTAGCAAAAAAAAAATAATAATTTTTTTTCCACATTGATTTATTGATCAATTGAATGATCTCTTGTTACATTTATCATCGTTCAATTCGATTTCGTTTCGATGTTTTTCCGTTTATTTGTGAAAGTTCCATCGCGTCAATTGAATAAGTTTTACACTTTCCGGCCAATAAGAATTGAATTTTTTTTTTGGAAAATTATTTTCAATCAATCAAAGATTTTTATTTCTTTCGATATTCATAAAATTGTGATTAGAAAATGGCATCAATGACCACAACAACAATGTCCGCTGATGATTGCGGTGTTGTTGTGGCAACCGTTTCATCAAATCATCATCATCAACAACAACAACAACAACAGGATAATGATCATATGAATTTAGAAAATTCACCAACAACAACAATGATGATGATGGATTCAAATAATAATCCACAACATCAACAACAACAGCATGATCAACAATCATCGAATGTTCAACGAAAAGAATCTATCGATGATGATGATGATGATACAATGATGGATGAATCATCAACTTCAATTATAACATCAAGGGAAATGAAATGTATAGACAATTCTATTATGAATCAACAACAATCACTAATCAAGAATACCTCAAATGTTGGTGATCATTATTGTTCTTGTCCATTTAATTTGAATGATGATGATCATCATCATAATAATGATGATGTATCAAATGATATGAATAGTCATCATCATCATCAGACAGCTTTACAATCACAATCATTGTGTCGATTCTGTGGATTAAATATT